ACTTGATAGTTTGAACATTAAGATCAGTTTAGGCAAGGTGAAAGCACCCTTAGGTAGGATAAAAGCAGCATCATTTTAACAAATGAAATGGTAGGCAATAGCACAAATTGCCTAACATCCATAGTGCATAATACAGACTGAAAAATGTGTGTTCTTCTCTGCCCATGGTTCTTTTGTGTGAAACACACAAATGCGGATGGAAACCTGAATTTAAGTTCTTTATCTAATGCACGTTTTGTTGTATAATTTACTCAGGGCTTATAGTTTAAGTAATTCATCCTCAACCAAATTTCCAATAAGAACTTGAATGTTTTCTAGAGGAAAAAACTGATAGAAATATAGGATCTAAAACTGGTATTGTTTCCCTATGATTAGAAATTCTAAGAATAGTTTAATTTGGGAATGCTCTTTGCCTGAAATGGCTAATCTGTCTCCTATTTTAAAGTTTTTATTTTGTTGAGCAAATTAGTAAAATGAACCAACAGTATCAACAACTACATAGTTTTACCTCATGGAAAAATCATGAGAAAAATGAATGAACTAGAGCAATGGTCATAAAGTATTTTGCTGCTTGTTGTGAGAGAAGGTGAATAAAAGAAATTCAGTTCGGTTTCACAGGATATAGATATTTTCGCTATCAATTACCTAGAGTTAAGCTATAGGTGTTTAAACTTTGATTCCCCCCCCCCCCCCCGCCACATGCATTACTGATGATTTCTAGAATATGGAGACTCTTGATTTATTCTACCAGGGGTGTCCAACATTTTTGCATCTCTGGGCCACACTGGCAGAAGAGTTGTCTTGGGCCACACATTGCATTGTGACATGTAATCACAAAAAAACCTCATAAAGTATTAAGTAAATTTACAATTTTGTGTTGGGCCACATTCATAGCCACCCAGGGCTGCATGCGGCCCATGGGTCGCAGGTTGGACACCCCTAACTAGACTATGAAAGTTAACAGAACTCTTGTCTTACTAGTCTCCTGACAGTTTAAAAGACAGTTTATTTCTAAAATGGCATATAAATTAGAAAAGGTATTAAGTAGAAATCAGGATTTGGTTGGAAGAAAAGGACGATAAGACCCTTACTGTAGATATCCCCATATAGACATGGAAGCACCAAAAAGACCTCCCAAAGTAGAACAGAGATAATTTTTTGATTATCTTCTCATTAGTCAGGAGTTGTTTATCACACAAATAGTTCGCTTTTGTAAAGTAGTCATTTCAAACTTGAAACTTTATTTACAATGATAATTTTCATATCTTTATTACTTAGAAAATAATTTATATTTTTTCCATCATTTAAACAAAGTATAGGCCTGAGTCTCACGCCTTTGCACAGCTTTTACTTTCAAAGAAAGTTCTCTGGGAAAGTGACAGGGACATTGGGAAATCGCGACCCAAAAGAGGCAGGGGACATGAGGAAACTGCAATACATACAGGTAACATGAACAGTCTACATGACATGCAATCCCTTTCCTTTAGTGCTGGGATTGTAATAGTTAGAATTTGTTCTGGAATTCCATCAAAATGGACCAGAAAGAATTGGGTGTTCTGTTTTTAGAAAAAGGATATTTTCATAAGCATTGTATGAGGAAATTACCTGTTAGATGAAGACCAATATAGATGATCCCTGTACAGAGCTACTGTCTTCATCTGCTGAGAACAAAACCAGTTTTTATATAAATGGGCAAAACAAAATTTTATACTTAAAGAAGCCATAAAGTGGAGTTTTCACCAAAGAATCTTTTGAGGATTGGTTTAGATAAGATAGATAACTGGAAAGACACTCTATCAGTGTGCTGGAAATAACATAGATAACACTTCTATTATACCTGGACTTTTCGTTAACAGAGAACCACCATCTAGCATCAGGGGCTTCAGTTCCAACTTTTCCTACTATTGGTTCTATACAATTATCTTTTTCCCAAAATGGTCTAGAAATTCTTTCATTTGAAAGACCTGAGTTGATCTAATGGCACCTATAAATAGACTCATATAAAATGTAGTAAATTGTAACAAATATACTTGGAGGAATTAAGCTCTGGACTTGGAAGTGAACACAATAATATATTGCTGTCACCAAGAAGGGGGAGAACTTCACTAGAAGAAAATATCCTTTTAGGTCCCTGGGCATCCTTTGGGATTTACCAGGTGTGTATGATAGCCATGTCCTTGGAGAATCTCCATTCCTTTATTTCAATTGACTTCTATTTTTAATGCACTGGTAATTTATTTCTGAAGAAAAAATGATCATTCTTCCTAGACTGAAAAGCACAATTCTGGAATGAAGAGGTTCTAACTGCTTTTGCCATCATTATTTCATGTACTTTAAGATAAAACAAAGACAGGCCGTTTGCTAAGATTTCTGTTCTGGCAGCCAGGCTGGCCCTTACTAGGGGCCATGTAGCTTGGATGAAGCTGCTAATATATAGTTCTAGACTCACAACTGCTCTCCTGCCATTCTACTGATGCACCACACCTAGATTTTTCCTCAACTTATATTTATTTTAGAGATGTATGGCATTTGGAGAAGGGGAAAACATTAGTTTTATTAAGAAATTAGATACAAGAGGTATGTGAGTATAAATCCTTTTTTCCTTTCTCTTATTTGCAAGGGAAGGATAACAGTTAAGTTCGCTGGGGAAATGTATCTGACTCATAGTAACTTTTGCAAACATAAAGGCGCACAGGAAATACTAAGAAAATGGAAAACAATTCAGTATGTCCTAAATAATGAAGACCTAATATTAACTAAAAAAAAAAAAAAAAAAGCAATGCAATTATTCTCTTTATTTAGGTAGAGTCTGCAACAATTTCATACTTTCCATATTTTCCCACTTCCAGGGAAATTTGCCTTGAAAACATGTTATTTTTTATTATATTTTCATTGCCTTCTTTGAAAAGCAATATCCCAGCTCTTCTCTGGAAACCTTTCAGAATTCTAACCTGATTAAATCATTGCTTCAGAAGGGAAAATTAACTATTTATGAGAAACAAAGGCATTTTTAATGTAAACACTCTTTTCAATGACTCCAGAGGAAATAAAAAGTAGAAATCACAATCAAGATTTACTTAGAAGCTTGTTTAGATGAGGAGCAGGTCTGTATATACTACTGAAGGAAGAGTTATAACCAATAAGTGGGGAACAAATGGACACCAATGAATAACATGTGGTGTTGGTTAAAAAGCCTTTCACTTGGGAGTCATGGACCCAAAAGTTAGCAAAAGTTACTAGTGAAAAAAACATTCTTGCAGCATCCTCATTTAATTGGCACAAAACAACTGTATCAGAGTTTCATTTATACTAGAACAGGAGGAAGAGTGGCTGTCCATAGGCTGCCATGCAAATGGATCATCACTCTCACTGGGCTTGGAGATAGCTTCAATGTATAAAAATGGTGATTAAAATATAACTTTATAAAAATGTTTCATTTTCCCTTTTTAAAAAAAAGTTTACTATCTACAGAAACAAAAAAAATCTTTATATTTACATCGAGATAACTATTCATGACAAATATAATAATATGAAATAAAATATTGAAAGTGAGTATCAACTTTTTAAATAGAGGTTTGGCTCACAGCATAAACAAGTGTAGATAAACAAACAAACCAAAAAAAAAAAAAAAAAGACTTTCAATAATAGGCCCAGTCCCCAAAAATTCTTCTTAATCTTCCCTGCCAAAAGAAGCACGGCAATGGGCCAGCCTGCAGACAGAAGCTCCCCCCGTCACATGGCGTGTGGAATACCCCACAGCAGGGCGGGTCAGCAGGCCCCTTGCCACCCAAAAGCCAGTCTTCAAATGTTGCTGAGAATTGGGCTTTCACTCTGTCAACAAACACCAAACCCTAGGTTGAAATTTTAAATTTTCCCCTTCACCTCTCACACAGTTCTGCTTGCCTTCCTTTCTTTTTCCTTTTTCTACCATACACATTTTGTACCAGATTAAGACATGGGAGATCAGAGTAAAGAGCAATTTCCCAGGTCTTCTCTGGAAACCTTTTGGAATTCTAACCTTAGTCAAAGACTTGACACTCCAGCTCCTTCCTAGGCGTTTATGCATAAAGAATGCCATCCCCTTACATGGTGATTTGACAGGCAAATTAGGTGAGTGACAGACATACTCACAAAGAGCTCCTATACATTCATTAGGCGAGCAGATTGGAAAATGCCTCCATCTTCCTCATTTAAGGCTGGTGATAGAGAGCCTCCAAGTGGTGTTTCGCAGTAGTACCAATCACATGGCCCTCTCTCCCAGCCCATGCAGAGGGACCTTTATTGAAGCTAAGTGGAGGAAGGCATTTGGAATGGCTGCCTCTCAAAGACATTCCAGAGTGAACTTCCTTCCATTTGTTCACATGTGTTGAGTTGTCTGCTGCTGGGATTCTATCAGCTACTAACCACAAAACTCTCTCTTTACATACACACAAACACACACACACATCCACACCCACAAACACCCTTTTAATCCTTTCTCTCTCGATCTCATACACACACACACGCACGCACGCACGCACGCACACACAATGTTGGCAGGATGTGTAAGAATTCAAATAATTCCCTGGAACTTTCATCCCTTAATACTAAGAGCAAAAGCTTCTTAGTTGTAACCTACATTTACTGCACTGGTCCCCTGCTAAGCCTCATCATTTCCTTTGTTTTCCTTTATTTTTCTTTTATGATTTATTATATATCACAGTGACCACTATATATCTTAATATGAATGCTACTAAATTGTGGAACCAGTAATTCTGGCTTTCAGTGTATATGTGTGTGTGTGTGTGAGAGAGAGAGAGAATATGTTTTACATGTATCTATGTGAGAGCTTATATACACACACACATATATTTCTTCCTTTAAAAAATCCTTAGAAGCTGGTGTTGTGACGTGAAAGCTTCTCTGAGCAAGAGTTTTTAACCATGTACCTCACTGTAAAAATAAACACATAAAATGCGAAGAATCCCCAAATGCAATAGCCATTTGCCCATCTTCTTGTATTTCTACAGTGTTGTGTCTAAGTGTTGTGCTGGCTTGAAGAGAGTCTGTGACAAGTCACTCGGTTTGGAGACAGAGCTCATTCTATCCATTGTCACTGGTTTGGCTTTGGGGTTATGATCTCCTCTCCTCTGGGCTTCCCTTTTTCTTCTTCTTCTTCCCTGATGGCCTGGATCTGCTCTGAGGAATGCTGCTGGGGAGACTGGTCCAGGGACTGATTTTCGATTCCCGCCAACCGCTGTTCCTCTTCCATGACTTTCTTCCACATCTTGTGGTTCTGCAGGAGGTGCTGGGTTATTTGACAGTAGATCTTCCTCCTTTTGAAAGTTTTCTTTCCTGAGAAAATACCAAGTTAGACTACTTACTTGTGTACTGAATACAACACTTACTTCTTTTCACATTTTTAATAGGAATTAAGTACCAGTGGATACATGTATCTATCACTTGACTTGTATATTGTAATAATGTCATTTCTGAGAATGGGAGAAATAAGAGGAAGATGGCAATCACCATTAATATATCACTCAGACATAACTCTGACCAGTAGCTAACATGTGGAAATGTCCAGGGCAAGGTTCTGTCTATATCTTGGTGTTACTCCCACTTCTTCAGACTCTCGAGATTTTTCAGCAAGATTACCAAAATAACTTCTTGTTATGCCTTCCTTTACTTTGTCAACCAGTCCAACTCACAAGAGTCTACAAGACTTATTTCTTTAAAGATGGTTTTGATGTTACTGCTTTGCTTCATGTGAATTGAAAAATTAATTTCAAATTCCTCTCAAAGTTTTCCCACAAGTTGGCACAAACACATTTGCAGTCTTCCTCCATTTGTAGCCTCTTTTCTAATACTTATCTGCTCTATTTTCTGTATATACACTGACCTCTTCTACGTTCAAGCTAGAATAGCCTTCCTTCTGAAATGCCCTCCTCTATGACTGAAAGTTCATGCCCATTTATTATTTTGAGGTCCTGTCAGACATCACTGAATTCCTCTTCAGTGAAAATCTCTCTCTCTCTCATCTCTCCATATATGCCTCTCAGAACAGATAGTGTTTCCCATTTTTCCCCCTTCTCATTGCCATTATTTCTTTGTCTGGTAATTGCACATCCCAAATCATTTAGTGGGACTCTCATCCCTTCTTTCAGTTCTGTAGCTCTAGAAAAGGCGGTCAAATTCAACTTCCTCACCCACCTCTGACAACACAGCTGTGTCACAGTGGCTGGCCAGTGTGTAGATATGGTACCCAAATCAGGCCAATCACAGTCCTTACCTGGGATTTTTCCCATTGCCATAGAATGCATATGAGGTTAGGAAATGGAGATTAGAGATCTTTTCTTCTATGCTTATGTATTTGTAATAAAGTTAACACAGAGCTGGCTACAATTCCAGCTTCACTAGCCAACATTATGTTTTCATGAAGCAATGACTTCCCTCTTGTATACGCTAATTTGATTTTAGTTTTGTTATTTGTAACAAAAAGAATACCCTAAATAATGTACATCTTTTAGGAATTTATCTTATTCCCATATATTCCTGCTCCTTTACTAGACTACAGCCTCTTTGAGGGAACCTTGTGAAGACCTGTAGAGACTTTATACATGACAAGGCTCAGAAAACATGCACTTAATAAATAAATAGATTACATTTTCTCATGTCCAAACAACTTAATGTTTTCAATATGGAAGTACTAAAGACAATTTTCACAGAATTGCATATCTTGATTGAAAAAATGTAATAAAATTAGTTTCAATGGAAGAAAAAAGTAAGATGTTTTTCAATAATTTGCGTTGGCGCCAGAATTCACTGTTCATGCTTCCAATTCATTTTCTATTTATTAAACATCTACTATATACCAGGTGTGCCACTGTCTGGTGATTTGCTGGTAGACAAGATAGATATAATGCTCGCCAGTCTGGAGCTTTTCCTCTAGGAGGAGCACAGAGAGTGAACAAATAGCTATAATTATGTTGAGTTTTGCAAAGTCTTTTGAAAGGTAGCAGACAGAGAGGGGAATGTCTCACCTGGAGGATACTCCATGCTGATGGTGGCTTGGACTAAGATGAAAGCAATGGAAATGAAGATAAATAAAGGTGAAAGATATTTGTGAAGTTTAATCAATGTTGGCAACTGATTAGACATGCGAAATAAAGAAGAGGGAGGAATCATAGACAACCCTGAGCTATCTGGCCTGAGCAACTGAGTATTTAGTGGTATGATGTACTGGGAAAGGGAACATTTGATGAAGACCAGATCTGAGGTGTCAGCTGAACACACAGTGTCTGGGAGACCTACAAGTGGAGACGTAAAGTAGGCAGCTGATTTTGAACTTAGAAGAGAGGGCTGTTCTCTAAGCTATTGGAATATAATAAAATTCTCAGTATTTTCATCTGAGTAACTATTTTAGACTTAGGCAAAGAGTTTAGAAATTAGGCTAAGATCCTACCATTAGACTGTAAACCTCCCCATGGAAAGAAGCTATTTCTCCCTTTTGTGTGTATATCCACAAAGCCCTAGCCTTTAGTAAGCATTCAGTAGAAGTTTAGTAAATTAATCATGTTCTTTCTAGTTTCTGTTCCACAGTTCCAAGTAAATGATGAAGTACTGGTAAGTCATAAAAATGATAATGATATGTAAAAATGGTCCACAGAAAATTCTGACCTAATAGAGACTATATTAAAGAATTACTAGTTATCATACATTCAGCAGGTATATATGGTTTTACTTAATGAGGTAGTAATGATTTGCAATGTATAATCTGGAAGAAAGAAGAGTTGGTGGAGGAAGAGAAGGAGGGGGAGGTAACAATAGCAAAAAAGAAACTCAATTTTTTATAAGGTGCACCAAAGGAACTAGCTCTCTTGGAGGTCATATACCAAAACTTTTGAGGAAGTGCTAATGATTGCTACAATGGTTTTATTATACCAGAAACTTCTTGGACTTTATAGGACAAGATCAGTTTTTAAAACACAGTTAAGAAAAAGGACATGATGAAATTATCTTGAATTATTCTTAAACCACACAGACACACAGAACTTATTAAACTGATGAAATGCCAGTAAGAATGGATACAGGCAGAACCTTAAGAAAGAATTAAAAAATATATATTTACTCTCTTCATGAAATGGACCCATCAAACAAACCCGTATTGAGTACCTACTAACTGACGGATAGTTTTCTAGATGCTATGAAAACAAGGACCAATTTGTCTCAGAGTTTGCCTTAAATAAACTTACAATCTGTAGGAGAAAAAGGCAAGAATACAAAAAATAACATACACATGCAATGTTTCATAAGAGATAAGCATGTGGCCAAGATGACCTTGACATTCCCCTGAGCTGGAATAAAATTTAGACAGATTTCTTCCAGACTACAGGTCTCTGATCTCCCTTTCCTTAGAGCATTTACCTTATAAAACTCAAAACTGCTAATTCTTTATCTGCCCCTTTGTAATATATGTTTCTCTTTTCCTGGCCACGAGTCAGTTTCACAACTTGAGAACAGGTTTCTCCAGGACTTGGGAGCCTAACTTCAGTAAGTACCAGTTAGAAAACACACTTTGCCTAATCATATGGACCAGTGCCCTCTAAGTTCCTCCAGTACTTTTTCCCAGCACTTAAAAACTCTGTCTTTGTTTCAAGGAAGGTGCGTTTAATTTTTCTTCCCTTTTGCAATAATCTTGAATAATGTCTTCCTTGCTATTTTCACAAGTGTGTTACACAATTTCTTTCTGAAATGTCAAATTATAGTGACACAAAAGACTCAACCTGTGGAGGAAGGAGTAGGATTTTTTTTTCCCTCAAGGAACTTGACGCCTGAGTTTAGATGTAAATTATGAGAATTAAATACACTGGATGGAGAAGGGGCTGGTAGATGCCAGGCAGTGAGAGGCATGCCCACAGGCACAGGGCATGGGGCCCTGAAGCATGACATTGAGTTCTTTATTCAAAAACTTCTCCACAAGGGATATGTATATAAAATATATCAAACAGATTTAAATTTTTTCTATCAAAATTAATAAAATATATTAATATATTACATTTTAAAAAGCAAATCTCTAAAATACTCTTCTACCAAAGCCATTTACTTATCTATTTCTACTTTGTTTTTGTTGTAGTTAAGAACAAACCAGTTTCTGTTGAGAATTTTAAAAGGTTAGCAAACTTTTTATCCTAATCTTTTGAATTAAGAGAATTACAGATGACCTCTGGCTGCAGGACACAGGACAGACTTACATCACGGTTATAGGAAACACTCCACTGTGCAAGGTGATTATTCCATCTGAAATATATACACATTCACGGCAGGGCATTCACAGCAAAGGAGCTAACAAAAAGCTCAATTTTTCTCCTTTTCCTTTCAGGGAAGTGTCCAGGAGAGCAGCTGTTCTCTTATTAATGCTGTTTAACATTAGCAATAAACCTCTCTGGAATTAAACTGAATGAAGTGACGTAGAAGAAAGTTTGTACCAAATAAATTTGCGTAGATTAGAGTCTGCAGGTGGTCTAAAACATGCTTGTATTGGGAGCCAAATTGTTCAGCACTGGAACCTTTTGAACAGAGAACAAAGAGCCTTTCATTGCTCAAATTCTAAATGCAGCTTAGTACTTCATTAGAAACCTCTTAGTTCGCTGCAGGAATCTTTCAGATTTAATTATGAGGTAGGGGAAAAGCCTTCTTTCCCTAGCATACCATATTGAAACATTTTATTCTATGTTTCCTGGGAGGTCTCCAAGTTTTGCAAATTGCTGAAGCTATCAGTGCATATTTAATTTAATTTAATTTTTTATTTATTGATTTTTAGAAAAGAGAGAGGAAGGAAGAGAAAGAAAGAAGGTAGAGAGTGAAAGATATGGGACTGTTTTTCCACCCATCAGTGCCTTCATTGGTTGATCGTCGTATGAGCCCTGACTTAGCATATTGGGATGATACTCTAACCAACTGAGCTACCCAGCCAGGGCTGCATATTTAATTTAAAACTAAGTTTAGCTCAAGAAGCTAACCATAAAAATCAATATGAATTCTGAGACTAAACCTACAAGAGTAAATGGCAATGGAGTTAAAAATGAAGAGACTTGGATTTCCTTTCCGGTTCTGCAGAAACCATCTGTACTTCGGAATGTTACCTAAACTTCTGAGCCTCAGTTTAATTTTTAGTAAAAGGAGGTCGTGAGTTAGATGATCATCAATTCTCCTCCCGTTTCTTTTTTTTTATTTTAAAGATTTTATTTGTTTATTTTTAGAGAGAGGGGAAGGGAGGGAGAAAGAGGGAGAGAAACATCATGGTGTGGTTGCCTCTCGTGTGCCCCCTACCAGAAACCTGGCCCTCAACCCAGACATGTATCCTCAGAATCGAACTGGTGACCCTTTGGTTCACAGGCTGGCACTCAATCCACTGAGCCATACCAGGCCATTTCCTTTTTTTTTTTTTATTTTTTATTGTTGTTCTATTACAGTTGTCCCAGTTTCCTCTGGTTGCTCTCCCTTGCCCCACCCCATCAGTCAATCCCCATCCTGTTGTCCATGTACAAGGGTCATTTTTACTTGTACTTTAACTAGACCCTTGCCCTTCTTTCTTCCCTTATCCCTATTCCCCTCTTCTCTGGTCTCTGTCAGTTTATTCTTCGTTTCCATGCTTCTAGTTCTATTTTGCTCATTTGTTTGTTTTGATCATTAGGTTCCACTTATAGGTGAGATCATATGGTACTTGTCTTTTACCCCCTGGCTTATTTCATATAGCATAATACTTTCCAGTTCCATCCATGCTGTCACTAAAGGTAGGAGGAGTTCCTTCTTTCTTTCTGCTGCATAGTATTCCATTGTGTAAAGGTAACAATTTTTTGATCCACTCATTTACTGATGGGCACTTAGGCTGTTTCCAGCACTTTGCTATTATAAATAATGCTACTATGAATATAGGGGAGCATAGGTTCTTTTGAATTGGTGTTCGTTTTTTGAGTAAATTCCATACTGTAAAATTCTATTACTCCATGCAGCCAATTTTTACAAAAAAACTAACACTTTATCATATTCTTGGCTATAAAGGAATGCTACAATGATAATTTTTCAAAAGCTACAGTATCAAATCATTGCTGTTGGGTACTTTAAATTTTCATACAAGGTGGCCAGTTGACATTTAGACGTCATTAGTAAACAGAATCCAGAGAATTCTCATTCCTGCTTTAGTGAGCTTGATAAAAACAGGAAGGTCAGGAGAGTAACACATCAGAATCTGGATGTTGTTATGGTAACCCAACCTTAGACAACAGAGAGGAATTAAACAGAGTATTTGGTTGTCTCATTCTGAGCTAAAGCCAACATTGAAAACTTGAGCCTGTTAAATCTCCTGGCCTGGGTTCTTCAATTCTTGATGCCTGGATTACGTGTGTGTGTGCTTTTTTCAATGTGTTTAAGTTCCAGTAGTAATCAGTTAGAGCTTGTGGGAACAAAGATTTTCCAGAAGCTAAAGCTGACAACACTTTCCGATATCAATCAGTAAAAAACCATCATGTCCTTAGTCAGAGAGCAAATTACCTGGTTCTCTGGATGAAAAGTAAAATCATTCATTCAATCAACCAATCAATCAATCAATCTAATGTCTGTTTATTAAATGAACAAATGAATAAATAGCACATGAATAGCAATTCTTGATGCCAATGTCTAAATCTCAAGAGCAGCACAAAATTTCTAATGGAAATCTTTTTATAAGCATCAGAGAAATAAAATATAATTACTTTGATAATAGAATATTGAAAATAACTTTTGATTTCTCCCATTCTGTATAAAAGATAATATATAGGATAGAAGCAAAAATCTACCTAAAGCCAAATTTGCATAACCTCATCTCTGTAGTTAATGACAACTTCTTATCTATGCTTATGTTAGCTTACAATGGCCACTTATGCAAGGGAAAATTAGGTCAATGTCCATGTTAGAATATCCCCATACTAGATGGCCAAAACGAACCAAGTCATGCATTTTCCTGATTGCTAAAACCTTAGAACAAATTAGGAACAAATGATCAGAATGCCTTTCCCTGGCAATATTTTTGGTAAAGGCTTTGAAAAATATTAATGTTGTATGTTCTTTATTGATGAAAGCAGGCAGACTATATACTATGTTCTCAAAAACATAGGAAGAATATTTGTGTAGAGTCAGTATAAGAGTTAAGGGTTTTTCTATTAGGGTCTCTTCCCTATGGCAGGAGAAACAGCAGAGAATATTTTATGACATGAAGAAAAATTATCTGTTTCTATAGTTAATTAAATTAGATTGATTAGATTGGGTGCACAAAACAGTTCGAATCAATGACCAGAGGTGAGTCCAAAGCCATACTCATCTCTCACTTGGGTAATTTCAACAGCCTCTTACCTCATCCCATTGCTCATATCCTTCCTCCTATCCTAAACTCTAGAATATACTCAATATAGCACCTGAAGCAAGGCCGTTAAAATATAAGTTGAATGAGCAAACACTTCTGCTGAAAACCTGGGACGGCTTCCCATTTCAGTAAAAGCCAAGGTCTATGCTGTGACCTACAGAACCCTACTGTCAAACCCTACATCATCGGCTCCCCACTTTCTCTCTCCTGCTGCTCTCCTGCCCCCTTCCCTGTGCTTCGGCCACCCTACTCTCCTGATGTTCCTCGGACACCCAGCCACGCCCACTTCAGAACCTTTACATGGCTTGCTTTCTCCTCCCCTCTGAATGCTCTTTCCACATCTATCTTTATGGGCCACTCTTTCAATTCTCTCAGGTCTTCTAAAAAGTTTTAAAACTCTCTCTTATTTAGACCTTCCATGGCCACCTTCTCTAAAATTTAATCTTTTAATTTTTTAAAAATGTATTTGGTGAGCAGTTTTCTTTTTTTTAAAAGATTTTATTTATTTTTAGGGAGGGAGAAAGAAAGGGACAGAAACATCATGGTATGGTTGCACCTCGCGGGCCCCCTGCTGGGGACCTGCCCTGCAACCCAGGCATGTGCCCTACACTGGGAATCAAACCGGCGACCCTTTGGTTGGCAGGCCGGTGCTCAGTCCGCTGAGCCATACCAGCTAGGGCTAACCTTTTAATTTTAATTTCATATTTTCTTACCTTTGTTTTTCTTTTTATTCTAACATTTATTAGTACTTAATGTACTTAGATTTACTGATTTGTCTTGCATAATGTCGGCTGACCCCATTGGAATACAAGTCTAAAAAGGCAAGGATATATTTATTCTTTAGTCTGATTTGTTCACAGCTCTGTCTTCAGTATCTGGAAGAATGTCTACCACACAGTAGGTGTTCAATAATTATCTGCTGAATGAACGGGTGATTGATTACCTCTTCCTGTTTTACAAGGTCTCCCCTAACCAAGCCGATAAAAGTCTACAGTTTTCCTGTATGGTACCTGAAATTCCTTTCATTTCTAAATCAGGAAGATATTCTGAAGAATAGGCTTCAGCTATTTTTCTTTTTTACTTCATGACAGAGAACATATCTTTGTATGAGCATGGTGTTATTATAGATCCCAGAGTTTGTAATTTCTCTTTTATGAGATTGGGTAAGGGGGCTATCCATAATAAATTTCAATAGGTGATATTTGGACTCACAGTATATAATATATAAAAAGCATAAGATTCATCTGAACCTAGAAATAGATTTTCTATAACTTACTTGGAGATTCATTATTTTCACAGGTTTCCTCTTCATTTGGTGCTGCTTCTTCCTCCTCCTCTTCTTCTGGGTCATCAGTATCTCCTGACTCATTACTGTCTTCCACCCATTTCCCTGGCATCAGTCCTGCTGAGTCATAGGAGTTGCACAGAGGCCCCACAATATGAGAGATAAAGGATTCCTGCAGGTTGGCCAGCTGAGGAGCAGAACGGTCCATGAAGGGGCTTATGGGTAACCCAAGGCTGGCCTCTTCATCACCCTAGAAATGGGAATTTAGCAAGAATAGTTAACTGGAAAGGTAAATGACGAAGAAAGCTTAAAATACAAGTCAAGTCAAAATTCACTTAGCATCTAAGATTTGCAAATATGTAAAAACCCAGATATTCATATGTAAATTCCCTCTTTATTGTTAGGAGATTCTCTATCCAAAGTACTAAGATTCCTATAGACATGCTTTGTTGCCATTTACTACTTTTTTGATCTTGAGGTTTAGGTTTTCGACCAAGGGGAACTAAAAGTAATGGTTTAATGTCTCAGTAGATGATATTTCTTATCAATTAGTCTGTGTGCCTTATGTTTGAGTATAAATGCATCATAAAACAAATGCAAGAAATAATTATGAAGCGAATACATAATCTATCATGTTTTCCTGTTTTACCTTGGCTACTGGAAATCTTAAAATACTATATTGCTCAATTAAAGTTGCTAACTTATCCTAGCTTTTGGTTGAATTATATCATCTATAATTATATGGTTTCTGTATTCTTATTTACCTATATGTTTAATAGGAGCATTCTATGTGTGTTTTAAACAGTTTTGAATCTTTCTGAAAACAAAAAAAACAAACAATCAGATTGTTAACCGGAAGTTATCGAGCAAAAATTAATAAAGAAATATATCTACATATCAACCATGTTTATGACTATGTAGTGGAATTACTATAAATGAATTTTCTTTTTTGTTTACATTTTTCCTGTATTTCAGTACTTTGGGGTTGATTATGAATTAACTTCATTTCTAGGAAAGGCAATGCATTACTTTCTAGATGCATAAACCTTTTAGTATATATTTGAATTTTATGAATACCTGTAACAGTTCTTTATAATTCCTCTAATAGGTCCAGATGATTTATTACTTAATAAGTTACCTCATCCTATTTCTGGATGCCAGAAATTAGTAATACAAATTTCTTTCTGACATTGACCTTCTTTAAACTGGTTATATATCTACCCTTTTTAGGGAAGCTGAGAAGAATCTACCATTTCTTTTAAATCAGATCCTGTGTCAAATACTTTACATAATTTATCTTCTTTAATCTCTACAACTACTTCATGATAAACTTAATCTTGAATTTGTATGTCAGTCTTTTAAGTATCTTAAGATAGTTATAATATTGCCTCTATTTTCCTCCAGGATTAATATCTTCACTCATTTAATATCTTCATGTCTTTTTATGCCACTGATCCCTGTGGTTTACCCTTGCTCCACTACCTCTAGATTCATCTTAAGAGAGTGGTTCACTATGCTAAACACAAAGTTTTAAGTATAATCTGGTCAGTGCAGCGTAATGTGGGGAAGATTCCCTCATGCCTACGTTTTGGCAGTAGTTTTTTTGGTAGTGTGCTAACCCTCTCGCTATCATGTCAAATAAAGTGCCTATTTTTTAAGCTTTTTCATACACTGCTGTTATTAACTCTGAAAAATAAATAAACTTAGTCTGGTATGTAGTCATATTTTTAAATGTAAATTGGCTACTTTAACAAATATGTAAAAGACAGTATGTCAGTGGTCTTCCCGGTGTCTCCATTACTCCAACATCTTCTGTCGAATTACTTGCAAATAACTTAAGAGTTTTTATGGTTACAATTTAGTTTTTTTTCTGTCATTCTTTTATCCTGTGATTAAAGTTGGCCAGTGCATTTTCTAATGTTAGGATGAATATGAAATAGATTGACCACACTCTAAAAGCTTTTGTGAGCTTTGGAGAATTTATGAGCAGTCTATGTATGGATTAAATCAGTTACCTGTTCATAAAATTCATTGACAATACCCTCTGTCCACTGAAGATGGAGCTCTTTACATTTAGCTGGCCCATTGATATCAGCCAACTTTATACACATTTGACAAACTAGTAGACGATCATTTTCATTGGTCCAATCTATTCCAACATCATCATTCACCTGTTTGAAGAACAAAGTTGAATGTGTTTTATCTCAGTGAAAGCAAAAGTTGAACAGGAGAATAAACAATAGAATATTTATTTTCTTCCTACTGTGTGGAGATCCAAATACCCAGTAATGAGGACTTTCTCAGCTGTTTACATAATAATGTTGCTGGCTTGCATAAATGAATAGTAAAATAGTTCATCCAAAAAAGTAAAATAACAAATGCTGCCTTAATTAATTAATTATGGAATTGAAAATAAATGCTTTTAAAATTAGCATATGTTACCTATTACTATTAAAATAATATGGCTACAAATAAGAAATTTTTCTAAATTAACATTTGAACATTTATGTTTGACATGAAATTTTGCTTCAGGGTTTTGACTTTCCTACTGTCAGATAATTTATGTTCATATACCACAGACATGGGAACAAATTAATCAAACAAAAACACAATGATTTATTTATTTGTGTAACTTCATTATTTCTCTGAGCACCAAGTGTGATATATATAGACAGCACCTCAACTTCTTGCATTTCTAGATTGGGACCAGTGCCTATTTATCTGCTTCTAGTTAAACATTTTCTTGCATTTCATTTTCACATTTGACATACAGAAGGTGATGGCAATGAGTTTTGTTCAACACTTCAGTCCTATGACACCTTTCAATGTGGCCATAAAATGAAACTGACACAAGTCCAGTTACCTTGGCATTAAATTTGGCTATGAAGTCAAAGTGTTTCTTCAAGTCAGTGGCCAAAATTGCTTCAATGACGAGAAAACGGAAATGCTTAAATTCCACGTGGTCAAGGTTAACCAAGAAGTTATACTCTGGTCGGGACATAAAAAGATTCCATGCAGCAGCTGCGTGATGATTCTCCAAAACTGAACGATCATTATAGAGCACCGCCTAGGCAAATATATGAGAGTGAAGAGTTCAATTTTTAAGGTAAAAAATTATAAAACTAAGTAAGAATATGCAATGTTTTTGGAATTTTCTTTTTTCAGGAAACACAGAAGTGTAACACTGTGACTACTGCCTGTTAAGAATCATTTATTGATGCACACTGGCTGATTACTCTTCTTGGTTAAATTCCTTTTTTGTAAGATAAAGTTAATATTCTTGAAACTTTATTCCAAACACTTCCAAGTAAGGGCTTAGTGTTAGATTTTATCAGATTTCTTAGCAGGGTACGGGAATTTAACTTCCTAAAATATGCAAATGTATTCATATCCTTAAGAAGTAACTCAGCTACTTCTTGCATCTAGAATGAGAATGACCTCCTCTTAGTTAAAACATATAGCTAATAAAGAGCAATGAAATCCCAGAGAAGCCCATGAATTAAAACATTCTCACCCCACAATCAGGCATAGGAAATATCACCCTTTAGCTAGAAATTGAAGGTATATAGTAACTATCTACTTGTTTTTAACTCTCTAATAATGGGGAGGGAAGGCCCATCAAAAGAGGAAGTTGCCTAAAAAATTCTTGAAGACTAGTTGACAGATAATAGAGGGAGGAAAAGTCATTAGGACAAAATGAAAGAGAAAGCATGTGAAAATTATTACTGAGGTAAGTAAAAATACATATATGTATAGGTAAATTTAAATAGTAAATGCTGTTGGCAAGAGTATTTATATTAAAAAAATAATTCTGGTGTTTATAGGACACATTGAAATAAGTAAAAATATGTAGTCATGAAAAAAACAGGATATTTTTATTGTATATAGATTAGAGGAAAACTCTAGTCTGGTAAATGAGACAGGAAAAGGAAACGGACGGGAATGGAATAGAAGACAAAAAGCAAATAAGAAATAAGAAAATAGGATCAGATTGGCCTTTAGAACCTCTGGAAAGAAAAATAGGCTTTTGGGATCTTTAATAATATGGGTCCAGCTGATTAAATCAAGAAGAAGTTTACTGAATTTAATTGAATAGATGATGATAACTACATACTTAATGATTAATTCTGACTTAAATGTAAACATATGCTAAGATGTACTTCTTTAAATATATCATTTTGGAATATTAGGTTCAGGAAAATATTTCCCTCAAATGAAAGAAATTGATTTTTAATTCCCATTAATCAATAAAATATCACAAGAATCATAATGATTATAATGAACATATTTCAAAGGAATGAGATTTATATACAAAGAAGCCTTACATTCTTAAAAGTCCAAAAAGATTTGGTTCTCTAATCTTTTCAGAAAGGGACTTTTGTACAGGTTGGATTTTGTTTGTTAAGGAAGTTCATTAACATGAATTCAAGTAGTTTTTCTTCTTTAGAAGCAAATTGAGAGGGGACCCCATGGGTAATAAAGTTGCACACCTGCCATTAGTAACTTGGAAAAAAAAGTACTGTCTTTTCAAAGTTAGCATGTTCTCTAAGAACTTTATGTCAGGGCTGAATATAGTTTGGGTTATATTTACCTGGTGCTTATTATCAATCAAATTTTAAAAATTAATTTTCTTCAGAGAAATCTCTCAGTTGAATCATTTCCCCTAATCAAAGTAGAAAGAGTTACCTGAGGGGCACTAGTTGCAACCAGGAACGCATTAGTCCTTCCTGGGTGATCATAGTCGTGCATGGCTGCAGCCACATACAGCGCCATCAACTCTAAGGCAGGGATATTTCCAGACAGACAACCGTATTTATCATCTGGCACATTATACATTTTTGAGAATACGTATCCCATATGTCCATGTGTAAATCCACTGTCAGAATCTGAAAAGAGAAGATGAAATAGAGATTTTTTTTTAAGATTTAAATTGATGTCATTTATCTTGACCCCCTTTAAAAAGTACTCTTTTGTTCCCATAGTTCATAAGGGAGCACAGATGTATTTCGCGTGTACCTGAATCACTTGCTGATCCGTGATCATTAATCACAGTTGAGAGGCCTGGAATAGGTTGTGTAGTAAGAAACCAAACAGCATGTAAGACGTCAGTGGCATGGATTCTGTTATGATCTACAACCAATGCAAAGGAACAGCCATTAATTGGTGACTTTGGGGTCCAAGGACTAAGAGTGCCATCTACTGGATAAATAGTTTAGTCCTAATATTTTAATATCCCAGTGAATGCCAGCCAAACGTTCCAGGACAAATACTCTTTGATTGCTTTTCCATTATTCCATAGTATCTATAGTACAAGGGGAAAAAAACACTCAATATTCTTTACTCATGCAGATATCTGAAGTGGAAAAATCTGTATCCACAGTGTATCAGAAACCGGATGCATATAGGAAACTCACTATGTGAAACAACTGTATTGCTTACACTTGTACTTATTTCCATGCTTCTGTACAAGACTGTGCAGAGGATTAGAATAAAGAAAGAACCTTGAGATACTTCAACTAGACAGACCAATGGTCTATATCGGTGAATATTTCATGTCTGATAAATGGTGCCCGAATATGATCTGTGAATAGACCATAGTAGTATTCTTCTGTAACCAACTTAAAATACTATAATAAAAATGAACAACATATCTTTTATATAGTGATTAAATTCACAAAACTAAATTAAAAACAAATCAATAATGTTCTCTGATCTAGAAATTCTGATTTGGGAATACTGTTCTAGGAATACCTGAAAAGAAAAATAAATGCCTCTTTGTACAATAATGTGGGAGTTGGGCCATGTAGAAGAATAAAAACTATGGGGAAAGCAAATCCCCTAGTAACAATGTCATTACCAAGGGAAAGGGGGTGCTATTCCATACGTGCTGTTCAGTTTCTGCCAAACAAAGGCCCAGTGATTTCTTGGCTCGCCTTCTTTTTCTGGTGCAACTCTTTTAAGTTTTTTCATCTTGTGTATCAGGCCTTTCATGCTACTTCATCGATTGGTAGCTTTATTCTAAATGTGCTTACTTTATACATTTTATTTTTACTGACTAACCATGATACAGTTTCCTTCTCTAATGCAATCATACACCATTAAGAATGGGGATACATTCTAAGAAATGTGTTGTTAGGCAGGTTTGTCATCGGGAGCATCATAGTGCGCGCTTGCACAAACCTAGAAGGTATGGCCCTCGGAACACCTAGGCGATATTGTATTCCATCGTCCTACAGGCAGTCTGTCACTGACTGAAATGTTGTTATGTGGCATGTGACTACATAGCATATTACATCTCCGAACACTATTGAACAGATGAGGAGGAGAGAAAACAGAAGAGAACAAAAATGTAAATGGGAATTTGAGAGGAACACCGGTTCCCTGTCCAAGGAAGAAAGAAGAAACTATGACATTTGTGGTGTTAGGAGCACACAGGGAGGTAGGTAGATGGTGCCCATTCCCTACAATTCTGGCCTCTCTCAGGAGTCAATCTTTAGGTGACGTGGGTCATTCAGTTGCGGGCTGGGTGAGGGATTGAGACATGTCTTCAGGAAGCTGTGAGAAACAGACCTCCTTAGGCTCCCAAGCATGGCAACAGCAACAGCTGTGCACTGGCATTGCTAGAGGTGAATACTCATATTATCTAGTACTTCAAAGAACAATTTTATTAAAACTGATGTCTATATCTCTGTGTATAGACTATCTCAAGTGATGCAAAACAATTATATTTTATGTCTGTACCTGTGTCATGGGCAAAGTTGATCATGTGAGAAGTTTCTGGATTTAGGATTGATCTGATTTTGTCTCTGATCTGGTATTTATTACCTGTGTTACCCTGAGTGAGTTACTTAAAACTCTAGGTTTTACTTCCTTATCTTAAAAATAAGATAATAATTCCCATTTCATAATACAATGGTGAGAATTACAGAAGGGAACATATTTTAGAGGGCCTGATACAGTAAGCTTGCAATTAATGTAAATATCATCCAAGTAAAATAAATTGTTACTGTTAGAACAAGATGGTCGATTAGCGCAGACCACTGGTGTTCCCTTGACGATTTGTACGAACAGGATTGAAACGCTAAAATAAAAGCTATGCTAAGTCCTTGAGGAGGGAGAAGGCAGTGAGGATCCAGCAGAGGAAGAAAACGGTAGCTGGGTGGAGGGTGCTACTGTTAGGAGATACGTTCCTGAGGGGGGGGGGCAGTTTCTGAGAGTTCTTTTCCCTGTTGCAATAACCGTGTGTAAGTAATGATCATTGCTATTGCTAGTCAAGGAAACCTGTGCATGCAACCAGTATTACAGGGTGGATGGGGGCAGTATCAGGGTGTTAGTGAGCTCGTCTGGGGTGAGAAGTAGACAGCATCAGGTAAGGGAACTTGCAGCTTGTGAACTGTACTGCTTCCTGCTGTGTTCCCCACCCCAACGCCCAGGTCCAGAAGACGTTATAGGCAATATTTCACACTTTCAATGAACAAACAATCCTATCGAAATTACATATATATAATTATATCCAAATAATAATAAATATAAACAATATGTGTGTATATCTATATCTATAATAGTATATATCTATAGTAAATCTCTTTATATATTTACTCTAGCAGTAAATATTAAAAATCAGACATAACTATAATTTTTTATGTATGCTAATTATAGTTAATGACAAAACTTTTAATAATTATCCATATTAGTATAAATTTACAACCCTATGACATGCAAGGTATTGTTATTTAAAAGTGATCACCAATCAAGCTAAAGCTTTTTTTGTGAGAAGATATAAATAAATCCCCTTTACGAAGAGTGAGGCTTCTAATAGAACTTGTGGGTTTATTATAACAAATTCCTTTCACATGAAATGAACTACCCACTATTTCAGGAAAAAAGCTTTTTACTTGTAACATATAAAAATGTAATAAGAAAACTTAAACATTAATTTAAAAATTTAGAATGTAGGAATTTTTTTTTACACTTAAATACTGTTCGACTTTCCCTATGATTCAATGGGATACAACCTAGAGAAATGTTAGTAATTACTACACAAATTACTCAGTGGAATTTGACTGTAGAGGACTGTATCACGAAGATATATTTGGAAATATAACATTAATTTGTAAAGTTAGTTTGGCGACTTGCTGTCCTTCATTGTTTCAGTGGCTTCCTTTCTATAACAGTTTATTTATGTAACTGCTGAACCTTTCAGAAATCACTAACACATGTCAGTCACTGGCATCCCAAAAGAGTGGGCCTTAGCAAAACGTTACTAAGAAAGTGAGACTTATCTTGAGATCCTTTCAAACTACCCCTTTCTCATGTCTCTCTTCCAACTTCCACAGCCCCATTGACAGCACTTTCCTAGGGGCCCAGTGCTGTTAAGCTACTCTTTCCTATACTCCCACTATCCTACTCTGCCTGCAATTTGGTCCCCTATTCTCCAACAAATCTGATTTGTAGATTTGATTCTTCATTCCCTTTTGCTGTCATACATCATCAGCTGTGCATTTTCATCCCAATGTAGCATGTGCATGGCATCTTAAAAAATGGTGCATTAATAATGGATCACTAGGTTCATGTACTACCCCTTTCCGGAAATACCTGTGCTTCATCTGTCTCCATCTAATTTTTATTTATTTCAGCTCTCTGTGACTACAAAAAGACATGGATTCTAAAGCCTAAGTTACATCAAAGCAAATGTAAAACTTAAAAGTTAAAACATGATTTAAACAACATATTTCTAAAGCAAGTTCCAACCAATATATTATGTTTGATTATTTCTCTTTCTATGAATTTATTTTCTACAAATACCACATGATTTCTACACATTTCACAACTTCATTGATTTGATTTATGGACATTTTCTCTAGTCCCATGTTTCTTAACAAGTGGGACAATTCTACTTATGTGTTCTGATGCTACTTGCAATGCTACATACTGAAAGTATAATTTAACATCTCCTTTGTGTTCTGATTGATGATTGTAAATAACAAACTTTTTCTCACAATATTCAAAGTTCATAAGCTTCAACACTAGTTGCGTCCTTTCTTTTGGTCTTCACATTTATTTCATTTAGAAAAATGTTTCTAATAACTTCTCCACAACTACTTCCAGATGTTTCTTTTTTCTATTTTATTACTTAGACCATCAGCCTACCATCTCTCTACCCCCAGCCAGATTCACCTTATATTGAAAATGTCAATGGTTAGTGATTTAACTCTGTAGAAGCCAGAACAAAAGTTGAATTCAGCCAATAAAATGAGTACCTTATAAAATGAGGAATAAATTGAACACTTAATGATTTATTTAGCACACACTTACATTGTACTTACTCTATGTAAGGCACTATTAATCTCCATGCTAATTCTATGAAGTAGACATTATGATGCCCATTTTACAGATTAAGAAATGAGGCATGCAGAGGGTAAGGAAGGCTCAAGCTCTCCTACAGCTGGTAAGTGGAGGGGCCAGAGTTCTAACACAGCCTATCATCTCCCAATCACTACACCACGTGGCCATATGGCATGCTGACAATGTGTAATTCTGTGCTAGCTGCTAATGGTGCAATATTCCATTACTCACAGCAAACTCTATGGATTTTTAAAGTATTATTTCACAAGTAACTTAGACTTACAAGGAATTTCCCTGTATCCACTCTCCAAAGCATGAAAGTAGTTCATAAATTCCCTAACTGGAATTTTGAAAGCTTCAAAGAGGCCCATGTCTTCAAAAAGTCTGTACGATACCTGTAAAGGAGAAAGACGAAGCCTTAAACAATATTCCTGGGTGTGTATTAGATATAAAAATAAAAAAGACTATCAAAGTCTTAGAAAAAAATTTTTAAAAATCAAATTACTTTACAGCCAATGGAGATACACATTGGGAACAATCAATCAGAGGGATATTGAAAACTTCCTTGTGCCTGAAGGGGTACATAATCTGTTTTTAAAGAGAGAGACATACACCCAAAAAACAACCGACTGAAAAATCAGTACACTCATAGAAACATATCAAGGCAATCAATTGTTTTTGATATCAATAGCTGAAGAATATTTACTAAATCGCTAATTGTACAGTACACAGTATAAGCATTAATAAAAGAATGAAAGCATAAAGTTTTCCAAATGTTATGTGTGTGTGTGTGTGTGTGTGTGCACGCACGCGCATGTGCGCAAAGATTTCTAGAGGATAAAGGATTCAAAGTTGTATTTTACTGAAGAATAAGGGAGAGTTATGAGAAAGAAAAAAGGGGTTGCTTTGATTAAAATACATAGAGAAAAAAAGATTTATTCTAATCCAGAATAAATAACAACATTGGAACTATTTTTCCTAGCTTGTCTTCTTTCTCCTTTGAACATCTATTTCAATCCAATTTCTTTCACAGCTCCAGGGACTCAAATTAAGTGAATGTCTTTGGATGTAACTGGCATTTTTTGACATGCAAATGATGAAGAAAAAAATGGATAAGTGGACAGAGAAGGTAATGGAGGAAAAATGATTATTCTGGTGGCAGAGTGGAATTTAGCACTTTTTAAAGTGACCTCACTTCAGGTCACAAAGCACAGTGTTGGTTATATTCAGGAGATTTAAAAAAAAGAACTATGCATCATTTTTATCTGTATTCCTTCATAACATTATCTTGAAATATTTTCTCTAAATCTTTGATACATGTCTTCATAAATTTCCATATTTTGTTATTGCCTTTAAATCTATTCAAATTCTATAACATTTTAAAAATTACATATTCAGTGTTTATCACTATGTGATATATCCAGCAGAAGTAACGTCAGCTTGAGTGTGGTTGGTAGGGTAATAATATGGGTGTAATAACTTAGAGTTTTAATTTGAACATTTTACCTACAATGTCGTATGATGTGCTTGAATGTGATATTGTTATGTTACAGAATTACATGTTTATTATTTTTGTAATAAAAGGCATTATTTGTGCTGGACCCTATATATGTGACACATACACATACCTAAAAAAGAAATTCATTCATTCAGCATATATCTATTCAGTGCCTACTATTCTAGACAATTCTAGATATTCTATTCTAGATATAGTTCTATTCTAGAACTATATATTCTAGACAATTTTTGATATATGAGGCATGTACATGTACATAGGTGTATGTGTGTGTGTGTGTGTGTGTGTATAAACATAAATATATATATCAAAGATCTATTCCTTCATGGGGTTTATAATCTACTAGAGGAAGGCAGTAAACAATAGATATAATAAGAAAAGTATATACCATGACAGAAAGTTGTACATAAGTCATATGAAAAAAGAAAAAGGGGATCAGTGATGGGGGATTGGGAGTACACAGAAGGTACTTTTCAAAGTATGGAGGTTAGGATAGTTATATTCAGGTGACATTTGGGCAAAGAATTAAAGGATATGTGAAGCAAGGAGGTACATGGATATCTAAGGAAAGAGTTTTCATGTAGAATAAAAGACAATGCAAAGGCCGTGAGGTCTGCTTGCTATATTCAAGAAACAGCACAAGGCCAATGTGGCTAAAGTAAAATGAATAAGGACAGGAACAGAGCTGAAGCCGGGATTGGTGCAGTCTTGGCGTTTGACAGCCAGATGGACCATTTTAAGGACTTTCACTCTGAGTGAGGTAGGGAGCCATGGAAGACAATGGAGTAGTAAAGTGACTGTAATGGACATACGTTTTAAAAGGAGCACTACAGTTGCTGGTTGTGAACAGAATATATAATATGTATATTAACTTCTGTGTGTGCTTTTTACTCTGAATGGCAAGTATATTTAACTTGTAGCCTTTTTTTCTGTGTAATATAACATTCCCCCCTCCTCTCTTTAAAAATGCAATAGAAAGTGAAATTTATGGTTTCTAAAGTATTTCAAGCTAGTTCTTTAGTTATTTCCACTTTAAGTCTGCTTTAGATGATATTTGTGTTCTTATTTGTAAATACCTAATGGGTTTAACTATACATATTACTTCAATAATAATACTAACAACAATAACCACTGATACACACACGCACACATGCACGCTTATATATTTAGCATTTAAAAAGTGAGAAGGCTGCTTTAAATATTACATATATTAATTATTTGTATGTAATTAATCCTCACAACACCTTCTGAGGTAGGTACAATTAAGCATTAACATTTGAAAGCAGAAGAAACTGTGGCACAGAGAAGTCGAGTGACTTGTCTAAGATCACACAGCTGACACCTTATGAAAACCACAATTCAAGACAAGCAGTTTGGCTTCAGAGTTTGTACTTATAACTGCTTCAAATCCTACCACTAATATTTGCAAAGCAATGCTATTAGAATTGCAAATAACTAAATTTTCCTAATATTCTCTTCAAACATTTGAAAGAGGAATTAAAACATTAAGACAACAGCGTATTTTACAGTCTGATTTTAAAACAGGATAATTTTGACCAAAAAGCTGTTAAAAATCAACCACCAATAATCCAAACTCATAAATAAACAACACCATTAACCAGGTAAATATTGGTAACTGAAAAATGTAAGCACTATTCCAAAATTTGAATATCCTTTCAAATTTATTAAAATAAACATGATAATGATCGAAAAGAGAGGCAGTATGCTCAGACTGAGTTGTTTCCACTGCACATATGTCTCTCTGAAAGTCTTTTGAAGTAAGACTTTTTCTGTGTAGTTTCAGCCAAAAGGTGATTTCTTGGAATGTTCAAGTTAATTCATTTCAGCTGTCCTAAATTCTTATTAAGGTGAAAAAAAATATGCCTTTTACATAGTAAAAATTTCATGATTTTTGTCCTTATAAACTCAAATCAAAGGGAAAAAATCCATAAAGTTCTATTTAGCAGTGCAAATAGAGCTGCATTTCCAAAAAGTTTACTGTTCTGTAAATTAAAAAAAAAATAAACTGATATCCAGGCCTCCAAACCCTTCTCTGACAGCTGTCAGTCTGTCCACTGTATCTATGAGTCTGTTTCTATTTTGTTAGTTTATTTTGTTCATTGAATTTCACTTATATGTGAGATCATATGGTATTTGTCTTTCTCTGACTGCTTTATTTCACTTAGCATAATAACCTCCAGGGCCTTTCATGCTGTTGCAAAAGGTAAGATTTTCCTTCTTTTTTACAGCCACATAGTATTCCATCGTAATAAATGTACCACAGCTTTTTTATCCACTCATCTATTGATGGTTACTTGGGCTTTTTCCAGATCTTGGCTACTGCGAATAATGTTGCAATAAACATGGGGTGCATACATTCTTTGGAAGTAATGTTTTCAGTTTCTTAGAATATATTCCCAGAAGTGGGGTTGCTGGGTCAAAAGGCAGTACCATTTCTAATTTTTTGAGGAACTCCTACACTGTTTTCCACAGTGGCTGCACCAGTCTGCATTCCCACCAACAGAGCACACAAAGGCTCCCTTTTCTCCACATCCTCACCAGCACTTCTTTTTGCTGATTTATTGATGAACAGATTAACTAAAAAACATATATACATAACAGATATAAACACACAAGTATGTGGTGACAGCCAGAGGGAAAGGGTGGGGGGTTGGTGGAGGTGGGCAAAGATGGGGAAATGAGGCTTTGCTTGGGGCGGAAGGGGCACAACGCAGTGTGCAGGTGACGCCTTATTAGCTGCACATTTGAAGCCTGTAGGGTTTTGTGAACCAATGCCACCCTATTAAATTCAATAACAAACAAAAAACCCCCCCCAAAACCCCAAAATAATAATAAAACTAACTCAAACCTAGACAAAGAAAAAATACTAATAAATAATAAATAAACAGTAACATAATAAAGATCATGCAGTTGTGTATTTATTTTATTTTTGAAAGATGACTGGAAAAACATATTAATGAATTATGTCCAAATCTGATGATTAGTTTTCTCAGGTCAATTTCCACCCTCCTACCCTGCAGCTCACCAGACTTTGAGGAGAGATAGGTTCCTGCCTGAAATCTGGTTCGCTGTCATTGGTGCTGTAAACAGCTGCTATGACAATCCCTATTCTGCTTACTCTCCATTTGGAGAGTTTAAGAAATATAAGTGAATGTGTTTTATAGGAGCTAAAAAGCAGTTGAAATAAAGGTAAAAAACTTGGACTTCCAATATGATATATCTACGTTCAAATCATGGATCCAGTATGTACCATGTGATTGTAGATGAACAGTATATATTTTTTGAAGTTTCAGTGTCCTTTTCTGCAAAACAGAGATTTTAAAAAACCTGCATCAAAGTTACTTCAAAAAGTAAATTGTGGCCTTTCGGGGCGCCTGTGATGTATATATCAAACACAAAACAAGGTGAGAGTTTTCTCTCAAGTAGAAGAGAGAGAAGATCTCCTGGCCACCGCCACATTTTCCTATGACACCTTTACAGCAAAAGTCATTCATTTCTTGGCAGTTACTGTCTGCTACAGGTTTCAGAAAGTGGAATACAGAACCTTCCAGGAGGAGCGCTGATGCATGAGGCTAAGGTGCACTGAAAAAAAATGGCCACCTTGAGCACTACTCTGCCATTAAAAAGGATGAAATACTGCCGTTTGTAACAATGGGGATGGACCTGGAGAACATCATGCTAAGTAAAATAAGTGAGTCAGAAAAAGCTAAGAACCATATGATTTCACTCATATGTGGGAGATAAAACTGAAACTCATAGATAACAGACAACAGTATGGTGGTTCCGCAGAGGGAAGGTGGTAAGGTGTAGTAAAGGACAAAGGGGGACAAATATATGGTGATAGAAGATGATTTGACTTTGGGTGGTGGACACACAATGCAATATGCAGACCATATATCATAGAAATGTATGCTTGAAACCTATATAATTTAACCAATGTCATCCCAATATATTTAATTTAAAATTTATTTAAATGTATTAAAATAAAAAGAAGAGTGGCTACCTTTAAACCTGTCCTTAAATCAGCTAGCATAAAAAGTGTTGCTTAGCACTGAGGAGAATGGAAGAGAATAGGACTAATAATGCCTAATAAAAGAACAAGGGCCATTTTGGTCCTCAACCTGTTTATGGTCAAGATACAGTCTAGCAGAGGCAACGATTGTATACCACAGAGACTTTGAAATTATTGTGAGTTTCATAGTCAATCAATCATTTTAGCATACTTCTTTCGTTTGTAGTATGAACTGTCATTATTTTGACATACATCTCGTTTCCCTTCTAAAACAAGAGTTCCTTTAATGAAGGAACACATTTCTCTTCTGGAAGACTATATTAGTATTTGTTTGTGGAAATGAACAAGAGAAGAGGCCCTTCTATTCTTCTTCCTTCAAACCTTCAAGGATCAGGAATCTTCATCCTGAAGTTCCACACTCAGATACTGGCTGAGAGGTCAAAGAAAGCCTGTCTCTGATGTGCAAAGTAGAAATCAATGTAACAAGTGACTCCTCTTCTAGTGTTTTTCAGGGAATGTTACTGGCAACAATAAATCTGGGTCCTGAATTCTTATCTAAATCTAATACTAGGAAGTTTGGTAGATTTTAGTATCTCTGCTGTGATATTTATTCAATCCATAAGAACTCACCTAAAACATTTAAAAATAATTTAAAAATAAGCTAATAAGTATTATTGCATCATCCCCTTTAGTTAATAGTAAAAAAGAAAAAGGACTCACAGACATGGACAACAGGGTGGTGACTGCCGGAGGAAGGAGGGTATAAGGGGACTAAATGGTAATGGAAAAATATAATAAAGATTACATATTTTAAAAAATAAAATGCAAAAAATTGTTTTGATATGTGTTTGATAATAGAGTGAATCCATTGTTTTGTGTTGTTTATTGAGAACATTCAAATTCTTAATTTCTATATTTTTTTCTCCCTCAGAGAAACAAGCACTTCTTTATTTGGGAGATATTGAAAATAGGATAGCTTAAGGAAAAAAATATTAAAAGGCATGTTATGCAGCTATAGTTTGCATTCTATATTTCTTGTGATACATAAAGTTTGTTTTCATATTAAAATACAGAGAACTCTATTTGATGAGTTTCTCATAGCACTGGGGTGTGGAGTAGATATTTCTGCATAATATCTTAGTTTTGAGAAGGCCTAAACATTTTATGTTCAAAAGTTTAGTAAATGGAAACAATTCCAATAGTCAATGGAAACAATTATAATAACTTAGTGTTTCCTCTTTTGAGGGCTTGTGTTTTTCTTCTGCTGAATTCTATGAATTTTAGTTCATTTCTCTATATTGCAAGTGTCTTCCTTCCCCCTCCCCAAAATACATATTTTAATTGCAGAATATGGTATTTTACTCACTTGAATTTCCAATTACTTTTGTTAACTGATGACCAAGGAATCTACAGAATGTTTGGTACTAAAATATCCTTTCTACACCCAATACCCACCTGGTATCAAGCGTGTACAGAGCTGTAATCAACCAAGGAAAGTTTTTTTCTACATTTAAAGTCATAAGTATGAATGCATTTCTTACTTGACTAAGAATACGGCCACACTTCCTTCCTATTTTTTCCACCAAATCAAAAATTGGAAAATTCCAAGTATTTAGCTGTTCCATAATTGAATCCAAGTTATCCATGACAAGAGGTTCAGGAGCTAGAATTGGTTTGTCCTAGAATAAAGATGAAGACATTTTAACAACATATAGTTTTTGTGCAAAGCCATTCATGCTGGTAAACAACTCAATTTACTTGAAATAAATGACTTAAAACTTCAGGGTGAATGGGTGGTCTTTAAAAAAATTGAAATGAACAAGAAATTGGCCCCAAAGTAAGGAGAAAAGGTCCTGACGCTGTCTCAGACCATGAATTCTGCACTATTAGGTGCCTGCTTTTGCTGGTTCATACATGCTACAGCGGGAAAAAAAAAAAAAAAAAGAAAGAAAGAAAGAGAGAAAGAAAGAAAGAAAAAAAAATTCTTCCATAAGCCTACATAACTGCTTTTGAGTTTATTGTAGGGTTCCTAAATAAGGATTCAAGGGCTTCAGAACATTTTGAAACTGTTATGTAAATTTGACTCTTTATATGTTTATATAAAATTTTCTGGGATGAACGTTCCTGGTTTACATTGGACTCTCAAAAGAACCTCATTAATGGGGAGGGGAAGTTAATCACTCCTACTCCAATTGGTCAAATTTGCATTCTGCTTCAAAATTAGCATTCAACCTGCAGAATGACAACAGCCACATTTTTCAGGGATTTTAATTTAATTCATGTGATGTATGGTTTCCAAAGAAACATGGACTGTACAAATGTATAGACATTTTATAATTGATTCTAAATGAGGACATTCTTAAGAGTACATTTACCAAAATAAAAATAAAAAGAATAGAAAAGAAAGATGAGGATAAGGAAACATAAACTATTTTATCTGAAAATCTCTTTGATTTGAAGTATAAATGATAAATCAGGTTAAAGAAAAATGATAATATCAATAATTGATAGTCCATTGTTTTCTACTATTTGCTGCCTCACCAAAAGTAACTTGACTCAAATATGCTTTTATCTTCTTTAAATGGATTGCTTTAAACAAACAAAATAAGTCCTTATTAAACAATACTTTAATGGGTAGCAAGAGTCTATGTAAACCTTATTTAGTAAAACAAAGAAAATAAATACTGGTTCACGGCTCACTTTCTAAATCAAGGAGGTGCAAGGAAAAGAAAAGGAAAAAAAAACCCTCCAAACCGCAGATGCCCGGAGAACTAACACAACTCACTTTGTTGATTGATTGATATTTATAAAATGTTATTTTACCAAATGAAAAAATTCATTTTTCCTATGTATATTTACACTTTTAGATTGGGTTAAGAAACATCTATAATCATTTGTGGAGATGAAAACTTCTATGTTTTATTCACTAAGAAAAAGAACCATTAAAATATCATATGAAAAATTATATTCAAACATATGGGTAGAGCTATAATGCATGTAAAATCCAAAAGAGATATATCTGTAAATCTAATGATTCTGAGATATATTTATAAGCCTAATCTCCATAATAGAAACTGACTTCTCAAGTAAAAAAATGAGTTAAGTGACATGGGGCTACCAAAAATATCATGGTCTCGGGTGCGTAGGTGCCACAAGCGGATGCTTTCCTCTGTGGGCCCCGGGGGCACTCGCTCTCGTCTTCGTTCTGTACAATATCACTGCTATCGCTGTTGTTATTGGTTTCGTAATCAGAGGTAACTTGAGCAGTGTCATCTGAAATTGAAAGAGAACAGTTTATTATGAAACTTGCAGCAAAAAAGGATCCCATTTAAGTGAATGTTCCTAAAATGAATATGGTAAATAGACTGTTTAGGGAACTATTGCTTTCATGATTTTCTACACACCAAGAATACAGGATCACAGGATGGGAGAAAGCTTACATTTTTTAGCCCAATAAATAGGTCAAATTATGACTTCACTTATATGACATTAAATCCTCAATAATAATGCATAGATGGGTAGTTCAAACCTTTTAAAAATCCTATGACTTTATATTTCTTTTTCCTTTATGCATCCCCCAACACACTAAAACAATGAGTAGCCAACTAGAACACTAAGTCTAGAATGAGTACATGGGTGGGAGAAATTGAGTTGACACCCAAGGCCAAAGTGGTTTCTAGAACATGGAACAACAGCATGTGCTTAGCTCATGGGAGATCCTATGTATCCAATCTCCATCCCTAGGAATCTGTGGCTTCCTTCCTTATCTACCTTCCTCCATTGTTTCCCATATTAATCAACACTAAACTGTGCTAAATGGAGGAACAATCAGGTAATATCAAGTGTCTGAAAAACCTGCTCCTGGGGCAAAAACCTAAAAAAGCTTCACACAACTGAAAAAAGTACCTGAATGAAGTTTATTCAGTGTTTGCTATTTGCCAGAAACCATCGAAAGCACTTCATCTGTACTAACATTTCAACAAATCTGTGAGGCAGGTATTTCGGCATCACTGTATTGCTATTACCCTCACTCTGCAGATAGGAAACTGAGACACAGAAAGAATAGGCAAACTGCCCAAGACACACAGCCGGTAAATTTTGCCACCTGAATTTGAACTCATGAAGTCTGATCCTAGTTTCTACACTCATTTTTTTTGATGAAGTCTACCTTCTTTTTTTTCCCCTTATGGTTATTGCTTTCCATTGTGGCTTATGAAGTCTTTGCCTTCCCCTAAGTCACAAAGCGTATCTTCCTGTGTTTTCTTTCAGAAGCTTTATTGTTTCAGCATTTATGTTTAGGTCTATGCTCCATCTCAGAATAATATTTCATATGATGCGAAGGAGGGAGTGAAATTCATTTTTTTCCCAATCCTATTGGGTTGCTTTGTCATTTTTGTTAAAAAATTCAATGTTGTGGTGTGAGTTACTTTGGGGCTTTCTACTCTATTCTACTTGATCTCCTTTGCTGATCCTTGTGGCAGCACCACACTTCTTGATTACCGTACTGTAAGTCTTGAATTCAGGTAATGTATCCCTTCTAACTTTATTCTCCTTTTTTCAAGATAGCTCTGGATATTCTAGGTTGGTTATATGTCCTCATCCATTTACTAACTGATTTTTCTTAAGTTGCTTGTGAATAATGGCTTTTCGGATGTAGCCTATTTCAATCAGGAGTATTTTATAGGACTCTTCCAAGGACCTATTTTCTTCCATCTTTCTCATGCAACTGCTTCCTTGTTAGAATCAAACACAGAATGAAAATGTAACAGACAAGTTTTAATCCCATAATTTCTAGAAAAGATAAGGAAGCACACTCAAAGGTCACAGTGCTACATGAGAGCGCAAAGATGATTAGGCAAATATCCACCTTATTCTATCAACCTCAATAGAATCAGAAAAGGTCAGCAACACAGAGAAGAGAATATCCCATATCATCAGAATGCTGCAACACCAGACAATGGCCCCAAAGAGAATTCTCTTTTTAATTTTTCTTTATGTTCCCTGACTTGGGATGTTGCTGTAGAACTCCACTGTTATAGGGGTATTTATTTACTTTTTGAGTATTACCAAGAAATGTTGAGAGAGATATTTAAGAATCATACTTCGGAAGAAAGTCTATCCCCCAAAGTCTGTAGTTCATACAAGCAATTTTTTTCTACCTTGTGAATTTTTAGCACTAACAAAAACAAGTCCCTAGGATTACAGCAATAAAAAATAATTATTATTATTATACCAATGGCAGCAAACACTACTTACAGTCACGCAGATACTATAATAAGGGATTTACATGCTTCAGGTAATTTAATTCTTACAATAATCCTCTTTGGTAGGTTCTATTGTTATTCCCATTCTACAGATGAAGGAGCTGAGGCATGGAGAACACAAACTTGCAGGTAGCTGAAGCAGGATATAAAGTTGTCTTGAAAGTCTGTGTCCTTCTCCTTTCCATAATACTGCCTCAAGGAAAAACTCCGTTTCGTACAGCCTACAGTGATCTAAGCAGGGCCATTTCTCAGTGTCTACAATGGAGATCTCCAGAGAGTACCCTGAAGTGGATGAACTTCTAGTGTCCAAGATAAAATAACATTTCCACATAGGGCTATACATTACATAAAAGTCTTACTTAAAAATATCTACGTCGGATACAGATAAATCGAATACATTTCGGACAGCTTTGCACCAAAATTTACCCACGATTAACTTTAGGTAGTAGATTTAGGGTGATTTTGGTTTCTTTTATTGTCTTTTAAAATCTCTCATCTAAAAAATTCAGGCGTGCATGTTATATTTTTGATTAGAAAAGAGAAAGTAAAGCTATTTCCATTTTGAGGAACAGAATTCAAATACAGAATTACCCGTTCTGCTTGGCGTGCCGGGGGCTGTGCCTCCTCTCTCCAGGGGGCCGTCAGAAGGGGTGCCTTGGGCGTATGGCCTGCCGCAGCTGAGGGATATTGGAACGGTGTGAGTACAGTCTCTTTTCAAAAAACCACAGGCATACACCATGCACTTTGTGTGCATTAAGACAGATAACAATAATCAAATATTTCTACCTTCTACTTGTTTGAGGTAAAAACTCATTTTGTTTTATGAAAAAATGGGTGCTGATATACTGTTTTCTTCCTTGTGAGAATGTAATCAATACAAAGGATCAGAAGCTTCATTCCACTGTCATCCTTCTCGGCGGCCTCGACCATACTGGAGGTGCAACTACCAGCAACATTTTGTTCCAGTACTCAGAGAATCCTGGGATAGTCTCCTACCTACTTCTAGCAGTGCTTTTGGAGGGATCAATGTGTTTTTGGTCAAAAATATCTCCCTCAATGGAATCCCTTTGTGTCTGTGTAAAAACCTCATTGTTAGAATTATTTCTATGGCCTAAGACATTTTATGTGCGAAGAGCTCTTTAAGAAAAGATTGTATGAGTGAAAACAGAATAATTGTATGAGAATTTTATTTTTTGCCTCAAAAAAATTTTTTTTTTCAGATTGATGTTACCTGTTATGGCCCTAAGGAAATGAACACAGAAAAAGTACATTTTGATGAAGGCTGAATGTAAAATAACTGCATAAGATGCTAGTTGAGAAAAATAGGCCAAGACAAAAACATTTACATTGTGGGTAACTGAGAAAAAAGAATGTACCTGAGAGGTGGCACTGTAAACAGAGGAGCTTGGAAGATGTAGAATACTTTTGCTTTCCCAACAGATTTGACTGTATTATAAACTTAGAAGTAACCCCACAAATAGCCTGGCAAGTTTCCTCTCGTATTTATCTTGTTTAGAGACTTCATGGTTAGATTTTACTTCGGCATTTTGCTTCTGGGATCCTTCCTTCTGCCTAGTATTACAAAGTGTTTCTGAGGGTTGGTTTGTTTGCTATTTAACCACAGATTACTCACTCTAAAAGGAAAAGGCATGATAGTTTATAATTTAATTACCATCTCATCACTTTTCTTTCCTTGAATTGGGTTTATATGTGCAGTAGAGATAAACACTTTCTAGTTAGAGAGTATTTTCCTCCTAAGTTAATTTATTTTTCAGGACCTGAAGGTAAGTGAAGCAGCATCACACACAAACTATTTCTAATTATGAAATCCCATCAGTTTGACTTAGGTAATCAAAAGAAAATGACAGGACCAAGGGAAAAAGAAAGTAGATGCCAATGATGTGCTTACATTCTTGAGGAAAACGCAGTAGAAGCAGCGTTTATTAGCTCTAAGATTTTTCAGTGCAAGATAATACTTAAAAGGAACATTTAAATTAGTAGTTCAAACATACTACCTCTTATGCCAAAAAAACAGCTTGTTGCATAGACAGTACAGCAGCCAAGAGACTGGGCTTCAACGCCAAACCCTTCGAGTTCAGCAGGGGAAACCACAATAATTAGTCGTGTGTTTCTGGAGCTCTCTGTGCCTACATGGGTGGCTGCCTTGAAGGCAATAATAAAACATGGTTTGAATTATAGATTTATAAAGCCCAAACAAATAAAACACACACTACTGGATTTATAAACATTACTGAACAAGTAGGCAGTGAAATTGCCTTGTTTTTCTCCAAAAGCTTTTTTATAAAAATCCCATTACATTCTTCCAGCTAAAAATACAAAAACTAGACTGTGATGAGAAAAGCTATGTGAGCAGCAGATTTTTTCTGAACATCTCTCTCCTTTCTTTAGGTGACTTATGTCACACAGGTCTGGAGGCCACAGTGGGGCAGTTTCCCTAGTGACCCTGGATGGCCTTGATGTTGGCACACCAGGGGGCTTCCCCTTGGCCAGGGTGCACACGCCAACATGTTTCTTAAGGGTGTTCCAGCAAACGCTAGCTCCACGGGCAATTATTGGGTGTTAACCTAGAGAAATTGGTTCTCTGCTCAAATAAACTCAGAACGTGCTAGATGAAACAAAAAATCAAGAGGTTTTCTTTTTGCAGGACCTCTCAGAACTTTTATCTAAGTCACACATGTTGTGAATCACTAAATGGAAAATATGCTATGTATGTCTGCTTTACCACAGATCATGTTTCTCTTTTTTGGAGGGGAGAAAAGATAAGATTAATATCCTACAGAAATTATTTTATTAAAAAAAGCTGTCATAGAGAGTGCAGCAGAATAACTTTTAGATGATAGAATTTTTTACTCTGGCCATGCCCAAACAAGGAAAAAACATTTTTTTTTCCTTTACAAATATGTGTAAGGAGAAAGTAAGTTAAAAAAATTATAAAAATTATAAAAAGAAAAACCACTCATTTAATATAGAGTTTATAAAGAAAGGATCTGAAAATGAAATTTGTGAAGCTCAAAACTCAAAGTATTAATTAAATCTGAGTCTGTAAGACACTATGTGATATTAAAAGACCAACATGTAACTAATTTATTCAAATGGCTATCTTCATTAACCTTAGAAAATAGCATTTTATTCAAGGCACTCCCATGATTACACTTTGTTTAAAAACATTCAACTGTATTCTACTTAAATGAATATTGTAATGCTTTAAGATCAATTGTGTAAGATGAAGCTATTCCTGAAGAACAACACTGATGTTAATTAGTAAGAGGAGGTATTTCTCCCTCAGTGACAATGTTGGCAAAATAATTACTCTTGCCATACTAGGCCTTTTTTTTTCTTCTAACCCTTTACAGAAAGACAACACTTTGTAATTTTATTTCAACATGACAGATCATTTCAAGCTTATTTGCATTCTGAGACCCATTTAAGATCATCCATATAGTGCCATGTGTTACTTGCACATTTTTAACGTGTTAAAATGGGAATTGCAGACTTAAGGTAAAATGCCTTTAAAATCACTATAAAATCCTCCCTGGAGAACAAGTAAAAAATATTCCAACAAAATATCAAATTATATTAAACTACTTGATATGATTTTTAAAGATATATGCTTTATATATTTTTCCATCAGTAAGCAGACAAAATATACAACTAATTATTTATGTTACCTCCAAAGATTAGCTGTATGGCCCATAGAGACTAAACTTTCTATCAATAGAATATGACAGAAATCACATTATCCTCTACTTCCTTGTTAACTACTCTCGCAAACATACACACAGCTATGTGGACTGTTGGTGAGTATTCCTAAACAGAGAAATAGTATTAGTTTTATGATTAAACTCCAGTTAATAACAACATACAATCCTTACCTGCTACATATAACAGGTGGAGTCAGTATCTGAGGAGACAGGTCAGGGGCACTCTGAGTGTAAGTTAAGGCCCTGTGAGAACCTAGGCCTTGTCTGGCAGTCGTGTTGGCAGATTCTGGAAACTGAACTGTAGAAGTTTTGCTGACCGGACTGCTGGCTGGAGTTCCTTGGAGAGGTGAGGAACAGGGTGATGAAAGAGGTGAAATTTTAGTGAGGGTACCTGAGAAACAAAAAGAGTCAGTAAGTCAAAATAAATGTCTTTGGAATTCAAACTTGGAACTCTTAAACTTGACTGTGGACTCCTTTTAACTCAATAAGGACCATATGAGTACTCGGGCTACGGGGCTGGCCTCCTCTGGAGATGGGGTGTATGTACAGTGGGAGCGTCTCCACAGCATGAAACGTGAGGAATGAACGATCCTGAAAGTAATGGGTGGCGGTGTTGGCAATCCAGTAAAAACCTTCACGTCCTGGAGTAACTTCAGGACAAAAGGATATTATTGTTGTTTCTTTTTGAATCTGACATGATGATAATGGTTACATTTTTTCTCATAGGTTTGCTTTCTCTGAGGCTGTCAAGTTTTTAGCGGCAAGAGGATCAGGTACTGTTTTAAATATTAACATGTCTGGAACAAAGTTTGGCAGGCATCCAATGCTTAAAATATGTAAATTAGGAAGGTGCATTTCTGAGAAGCAGTTAACTTTTTTAATCATCCTTGTTTTCAGCAAAACAACGATTTTGGGTGTGAAATGGTACTTTGATCAGAGTAATTTCTGAAGGAAACATTTTAAAATGTAATATGATCCCTTTCAGATCAAACAATAGGCCTCGAGCTTAAATTTGAAGGGTGGATCTTCGTGCCAAACTGTGTTTATTCTGGATTGTGAAAATTTTACAGAACACTGGATTAGATTTCCAAGTGCCGATCTTTGAGTACGGGGACAATGTCTTTTGAATTTCCTTTCTTCCCAAACATAGAGAAAGCAGCCTACCTTTAAAATTGCAGAAGAAAAATAGCTCCTGAATAAACTACCTGTTTACTGATTTTCATGATTATAACTGAACTATCTATAGTAAAGCAAAGGAAATGAAATCAGTGAAAGTTGTTTTCTATTTCCCACCACTCCAGGGAAACGCACAGCCAGCTGCTCACATCCATCGTACGGAGCACATGGGCGAACTGGCAGCGGGCTTAGTCTGCTTCCGATGTCCATTTCTCCCAAAAGCTTTATTTGTCGCACCCAAAAGTTCCCTGGTCCAATGAAAGCAGCATGAAGCTTGCTGAAGAGCTTTTGTAATTTTTAAGTTTCTTGTCATTTCTTGTTTTGTTTTAAAAGAGGAGAAATCATACTCTTCCTTTGATTCAGTGTGGAGGCCAGCAAGCCCTCCTAGTCCTTTTGTCAATATTTCTATTGTTGAGTCCTGATCAACAGATCAGTCCCCTGCCTTTACACCTAACTGAAACCACTTAGAACCAGACAGGTTAGGTAACCTTCCCAGGGTCACAGTGCTGGTGAGCAGGAGAATATGGACTGGGATAAGCTATTCTCGTAAAATGTGGTTTATTAGCCCACACTCTAACAGAGACTTCCCACGGAAGAAGAAAAACCCATTATCTATTAGGTAGCATTTGTATCTCTCTGTACAGGGATATGTCTTACGGTTTTAATTTTGATGTCCACCTCTATTGAAAAGGTTTAGCTAGTTTACCAAAGATACTGACAAACCTTCACATCACATAATCTCTTAAGCCAAAAGAATATTAACCTCACCAAATATTTATCTCAGAGTTTCCCAAACTAACTATCGTAGGGTGCAGTAAGGGCCTTACTGGTACCCCGTGAAGTACAAATGGTTGTTTGTTTTTTTTAAGAGACTTAATTTGGAAGCCCCAGAATAAATTTAATTTTAATATTATTTCTAATACTCTATTTATATTATAAATTATATCATAATCTAATGTAATTAGATTTTATTATAGTTTTATAACATAAAAGAAGTAAAATTTTCAACAAGCTCTAAATCCTTCTCCATTTCTCCACTGCTATGTAACAGTGTATTCACATGTGCTCTGATGTAAAAAATAAAAAAGGTTGAAAAGGACTAGTTTATTCAGACTTTTTGTTAGATCACAGCCATCTGAGTCTCTAGACATCTATGAAAAAAGCAGTAAAATAATTAAGGAGCTGGATGGGCATATGAAGTGGTATAAAGGTTACCAAGGTATTTGTACAAAGTAGCTCAATGATTTTGTTCATTCGGTGAATACTGATTGTGCGCCCCATTCCAGGGACTAAGGGGGCAGTAGTGAACAGCAACAAAAAGGTCCCTGTTTTCATAGAGCTTCCATTCTTTTGGGAGGAGACAAATTAAAAAAAGAAAAGTATGTAGAAGAAGAGAAGAAGGAAGGAGAGGAGAAGGGAGGAAAAAGAAGAAAAAAAATGCTGAAGGGAATAAAAGGAGGACATGCAGGAAGACAAGGAAGATAAGACAATTTTAAGTGATAGAAGGAAAAATAATGCAGAGGGTAGAGGATGGAGAAGGACAGAAATGTTCTCAGTGTAAGGAAAAGAGTTCTGTTGAAATAAGATATTTAGACAAGTATTGGGGAGAGCATGTTCTAGAAAGAAGGACCTATCAGAGGATCAGTCAGAAGGTCAGAGTGACTTCTTGGCAAAGAGGAAGAAGAGGGGCAGGGAACATGCTCTGAGAGGTTGCTGGGCAACACCGTACACATCTGTGGACCAAGGCAAGGTGGTGTTGTATATTTAAAAAAGGAGACTCCTGATAAGCATTGCATTAGGCATTTCCTTAGTTATTTTGATAGGTAATAGTGAGTTTTTTGACAAGTGTCTGCCTTTTTTTTTTTTTAAATACAACGGCTATGGAAACATTGTACATTTCTGCCTTGATGCAACATATTTTCTGAAGGCCATTTACGAGAAGAGTGATTTCTTTTCATTGCTAATTTTTAGTAGATGCCAGCTGATGTTCTCAGGGAAATAAAATTCTCTCTTACACTCAACAATTAGAGTTCTTAGAACTCACGGATTAACTACACTTAAATAAATAAGCAGACTTTAAGACTCCAAATTTACTGCCTGGGATGAAATTTAAAATAAACGTTGAAACAGAGGAGAAGCACTTTGCTTCTGCAGTATGTGAGTCTACATATTTTGAAGTCTTCTAACAAGCAAGCGTCTTGGCAACAACCATAAAAAGCAGGGATATTTTTATTCTGTAGGTGAGAAGATAAGGCATAAACATATAATTTTTTTCCAAAACCAAACTACTATTTCTCACAGTGTGTATTACCATAGTTTACTTAAAGTTTTAAAAACAGAAAGAGAATATCATAGGAAGTGGGCACATGTTTATATATTAGTCTTCAAATAGATGGAGAGATATAAGTGCAGATAATAACCAAATACTTTCCAGAAGGGACAGGCTACAAACAAAATTGTTTCAGACAGAGCAGCAGGATACTCCACGGAAATGGGAGAAAGGCCCTTCTTTCAAGTTTTCAAGAACAGACTATTTTTGAAGGTAGTTTAAGTGGAATCATGTCTAACGTTAAGGAACTTCATGACATTTGAAATCTCATCCAACTTTATGTTGTACATCCACACATTTACACACACACACACACACAGGTGAAGGGATTCAGATAAATATACTTTTTCTCATATATGTCTATCTTCATTTTATAGTTGAGTAATATTAACAGACTCCAGAACCTAGCTCATGAAATATAAATCTTGAGTAATTGAAACTGCCCTAATATAAAATACTGAAAACATTTAAAAGTAAAATAATTCAAATATAAATTTAAAAAATTCTAAAATGCCAAGTCCTTTGAGTAATTCAGTCTTTAATTTCTTGCTCCTGAGAGCATGAGAAAATGTGTTTTGAGATACAAGAACTTTGGGCAAAGGGAAATGATAAACACTACTGGAAGGAGGAAATTATTTAAGTGAATCCATCTGTTTTGTCCTGTAAAATTCTCTCAGCTTAATTTTGATCGAACAAGAAAGAAACTAGAATGTCTGATAAATATATGCCTCTTTTCCATGCCCACTGGCAAATGCATCTCCAGTATAGGGAAAGTTAAAAAAAAATTAATTTCTCTCTTGCTCCAAATTTTTTTATAGGAAAAAGTCGGGCTAGCGTTTAGGTGTAGAAAGATCTCTAATCATTATAATATGATTATAAAAATCTTACAAGAATTATAAGACTCTGAAAAGGGACTCCTGCAAATTCAACAAGTATGAAATTAGAGGAATCTTAAAAGTCCATTAATGATATAATAGCTCTATATTGTCAGTGACTCATAAAAAGAAAAGCAAGATTCAAAATGCAAATTGCATTTAAATCTCCTATTTTATGCTTTAATCATAAGACTCCTATGTGATTTTATTCATTTATTTTATATTAGCAACTGCATAATAATTGGTTGTGGTTCGACTATTTAAATTAATGCTTCCTGATCGAGCTAGAGGAAACACTGTTGAATAGATTTGTGCAAAGAACAGATTTCATTAGTCCCCTCTGAAAACAGGTAATTTATTTTTCAGTGGTTCTATTCTCTACCTTTTGCTTGCATCTTCCTACCTCTTTTGCCTATTGGTTGCTACTTTTCTCCTCAGACTCTATGCACACTTTGATTCCATTTCCTTATATTTCTTGCCACATAAAGGGACTTTTCCATGTCCCTTTCCGCATAGTTTATTGAAAACCAGCTGGCTTTGCAGTCGATTATATTAAACCTAACACACCTAGTTAGCTCAATCAACCCAATGCCATCATTAAAGGGAAACAAGGACTTCAAAACACAAGGGCCCATCTGATCAGGGAGAACTGTAATTGAATTTCAGCTCTCTGATTCTTGATGGGTTTTTCCCTCTTGGCAGACTTTCAGGGATTTGTTCAGTTGAATTAAGCATGTTTAGCATATAGTCTATTTTATAAACATTTAGCTCTAGTGTGACAGCAGTCTTAAAGATGTCACAATGCAAAGTACTCTTCAAAGTAACCACGATAGAGACATCTTAGGTACTTTATGCCAAGAAGGGAGAGAGGCTTTTGCCATGGCTGTGGCTCTAATTTCTGCCATCTGCCTCTGTGATATTTGACAGGGACATTCTTTTCCTTTGACATTTTGCCCTTTCTTATTGAGTGCAATCATATGAATTGTGGAGCAGAACACTGGAAGATGAGACTGTTCCTCATGTCTGTTCCCTCATTTGTTTTGTTATTCCCAGTGAATTCACTAACATAATTTTCAGCTTCCTTTTCTTTCTTTCTCTCTTTCTTTCCTCCCTCCTTCCCTCCCTCGCTCCCACCCTTCCTTCCAGATTTATTTATTTTTAGAGAGAGGGGAAGGGAAAGAGAAAGAGAGGGAGAGAAACATCAATGTGTGATTGCCTCTCGTGCACCCCTCACTGGGGACCTGGTCCACAATCCAGGCATGTGCCCTGACTAGGAATCGAACCGATGACCCTTTGATTCACAGGCCAGCACTCAATGCACTGAGCCACACCAGTCAGGGCCCTTTTCTTTCCATTTTCTTTTAATTGAGTTATAATAGACATATAACAATATATTAGTTTCAGGTATACAACGTAATGATTCAATATTTGTATGCCAATTTTAGTATATGTGCTGCTGAAGCCAGTGCACTTTTCATCTTCTTGAGTTTATCATGTTGGCTTTTGTAATAATTTTAAATTTATTACCTAAATGAAGAAAATGAGGGGCAGAAAACCAAATCTTTTCATTATCTTATACTCAGCCAAGGACAGCACACAATATTTTTAATTTTAAATTACCTTAATTTGGTGTCCTCAATTTTTTTTCTAGTATAAAGTCATCAGGACAAAAGAAAGAATTTAGGACAAATTCTGTGAGCTTGGACAAGCCACTTAAGATTTCTGTGCCTCATTTTCCTCATCTGAATCCATTTCTTGAGCTATACAAGAATGTAGACATTAAATTCATATTTTATCCTTTGAGTAACATTAGTATTGCCCAATATTTTAATTCTGTCTTTAAAATAATCTTTAAATACTCACAAATCTGGAAATACTATTATTTATGTATATGTTTGATAGACTCATGGTTTACAAGTTTATTTATTCACCATTTTTATTATATCTTAGATTCTTTGCTAGTGCTTTTCCTTCTACAATACATCCATAATAAATTCCTTTAGTTAAGATTTGGTAGTTAATAAAGTTTTGACCTATCTAAGAAAGGCTTTAGTTCACTCCTATTCTTGTGAGATATATTTTAGGTTGATTACTATATTCTTTCAGAAATTTGTATAAAATATTCTACTATATTCTGATGCCCTTTATTCCAGAGAGTTCTGCCCTCAGACTGAGTGCTTTTCCTAAACATGTCATTTGTCTTTAACTGAATGACTTTAGATTTTATTTTTGTATTTGGTGTTGTTTAGTTTCACCATTTTGTGTTTATCTATGAATTCTTTTCTCTTTATTCCACTTTTCCTCAGAGTTTAGGTCCCCTATCCTCTCCTACAACTATGATTATGTAATTAGACTTCCTAACTCCTTTTCTTATATTTCTTAAAAATCACTTACATTTTCCAGTTTCTCATCTTTGTTGTATTCTGGGTAATTCCTTCACATTTCTTGCCTCCTGGTTTACTAAATTTCCTTATTATGTCACTTAACCTATTGTATTTCCTTGATTATATTTTTATGTTTTAAAGATTTTACTTACTTATTGTTAGAGAGATGGGAAGGAGGGAGAAAGTGAGGGAGAGAAATATCAATGTGTGAGAGATACATCAATTGGTTGCCTCTCTCATATCCTCAACTGGGGGCCTGGCCCACTGCCCAGGCATGTGCCCCGAATGGGAATCAAACCAGTGACCTTTTAGTTCACAGGTCAGCACTCAATCCACTGAGACACTCCAGCCAGGGTTCCTTCCTTGATTATATTTTTAAAAGTTATATTTAGCTGGTCTGCATTTATATCTTCTCTTATTGCTGTTATTTTTTATAAACTCATACTTTTCTTTAAATATTATAAAACTATATATTTTAGCAAATAAATATCTCAACCCTTTTAGAGATCTGTAAAGTTTTCTTTTTTTCTGTTTTCTCTAACTCTTGTTTCTTGTGTGCTTTGTGATCTTTATTGTAACTTGATATGTTGAAGTCATATGGCCCTCAACTGGTGATGCTTTCCTTCAAACATTATTTGCACTTATTTTTTGCAGGGAGCCAACGGGTCCTCCTGACCTATGACCACTTTAGTTTCCCTTTAAAAGCCTCAGGTTTAATGTGGAATGCTCAGATTCAGTTCCTTCATCTTGCTGGAGTCCCACACCAGTCTTCACATCACCGAGCTAAACTGCATTTGACCTTGGGGCAACCCCATTTAAGTCTTTGCCCACCTTGTCCTGTTCCTGGCCCCGGTGCAAGCTCAGTTCTATTTCTCAGGCCATTAATGGCTTCTAAGTTGTAAAATTTAATGAATACTTTCAAAGAGCAGAGAGGACCAGATTAGTTTTCGGAAAACCAAATTACCTTTAATGGTTTCACTCAGTGACGCAATTCCAATAAAAGCATACTTCCTGGAGAAAGTGTCTTCCTACACTGAAGAGCAGAGATTGAAGCCAAGCTGGTGCTTAAATGGTTTCAAGAAATAGTTGCCAATATAAAGTGGGTGATCAAAAGGGAAAGAAATCACTCAATTTCCTTTTCCAGATGTAAAAACAGATAACAAATGCTTCCTTAATTTGTATCTCTTAAGGTTAAAAGTTTATTTCATGATGGTCTTTTAAAATATTAGTGGGATGTGAGTGCTGTTTCTCTATCCCTCACAGAAACATGGCCATTTTGAGGGCTTCTGCTTCTGGCTATGATTCTGTAGTTTGCAGTAGATCCGTGCTTCTTTGAGAACAAATAGAAATGTTGCATTAAAAAAAAAAAGCTATCAAGGCAAGTCAACTAATCTGGGGGAGTAGGTTTCCAGAAAGAAGAGATCCTTAGAAATGTGAGCCCAAATCATCCTATTCACTATTCTCTCTTTCAGAGCATTATTTACTAACCATTGGCTTGGAGTAAATGGCTAAGAATCCAGGCAGAAGAATGCAGGAATGACAAAAATCAAGCCAGCAGAGCTTTTAGCAATGTCATGAGGCTGATGACACAAAAACTGGCCTTTGGGGGCCACCGTGCCAGTCAGAACTTGAACGTCTAACAGCCCAGTGAGTCGCGGGCGATTTTCCTGTTGAGTCATTTAGTGAATTATTAAGCTGCTAAAAAGGCAGAACATGAAGAAGCTAAATCGAAAGGTACTGAAAAATCTCATCAGAGTTTTCTGCAGTGCTGATAGATGAAGACTTGGAGCTAGACTACTCCAAGAAGAAGGAGTCATAGTGAATACCCCAGACTCTCAACTGGGATTTTAGGAGGAGAGCAAGTGGGAGACAGAATCTGACGAATACTGTTTTGAGCCAGCACAGATTCTGATTAAGTGAGGTAATCTCCCCCCAGATCATCTCACTTTCCTGCCTGAAACTTCATTGTTCTTAATTTTGGTATCTAAACTCGTTACCATAGCTCCTCAGGTCCTATACCATCTGGCCTCCGTTAAACATTTGTTTCCATCTGCCTTTCTACACTCTTAATCCTTTCCCTTTCTGTGGGTTTACTCTGCCAGTCCTTTAAAATCCTAATTCCTCAAACTTTCTCTCAGTGGGTTGGGTCTTGCACCTCTGTTCTTCTCTTTTATTATTTGAAATTCTCCCCTCACTTCTTTATTATAGCCTTTAAAACACTATATAGTAACAGCTGACAACCAGTTTAGAGTCCCCAGCACAATGTAAGTGAAAATTCTGTGAGTGGGAGGACTGGGTCTGGCTTCATCACAGCCATGTTCTTGAAACCAGTTTAGCATCTGAAACAGTGAACACGCCCCAAATATTTGTTAGGTAAATTAAGCTTGAGGGAAGATGATGCTTAGAAGAAGAAGGGGTGCATTGACACCAACATGGAAAACTCCATTCATAGTAGCTAGATGCCAGATCCCAGAAGAGAGAAATCATAGCACATTTCATTTTGTACCTGCCTGAAAGGCAAGGAAAACTTCCTGCCCACAGTGCTGTTGGGTCTTTTGGTTGCTAACTTGTGGGATTTTTCATAGGGCTCTGAAAAGTCCTGAAATTATTTTTTCCAAATTTAAATACCTCTTTCTTTCAGTGTTTATTTATTGGGTCGGGGGGGGAGAGGGAGCGGTGAGTGACAAAGTGAGAATTTCTTTGAAAAAATTATAATATGCATAGTAAATAAGCATCTCTTCAAACTCATATAAATACCATACTCCTGAAAAATAATTTTCTTTTAACAGACACTAAAAATAAAATCAAAATTTCCTAAGTGCATCATTAGCTTCTATACTATAAGATAATGCTTCCAGAGGTTATCCTCAACGGTGATAGTGATTTCCTATTCATCCAATGAGCCCAAGATAGAATATCTGGTACAGCAACCAGATATTCTGATGAAGCATCTGTTTCATCATATAAAGTGGAAATCTAGGTAATTAAATACTTACTGATGCCTTTTCTTTTTAGAAGAGTCAAACCAAATATACCAAAGTATAGAGCATCCTCTGAATCTTATTTAAACACCTGAGGCTTAGTTCAGTCAGCTACTGCACACTCAGTAAGTATGAACTCTTCTCCCAGTAAGTTACTTACCTGGACGATTTGGTTTTTTAGCCTTTACATAGTTAGCTGCGGAAATGGGACAGGATGAAGTGAAGGATCTGCTTTTGGTGAGGGCCACCATCACTGGGTTATTCCACGAATCAGAACTAACAGCGCTACAAAGGCAGAGCATAAGGAAAAATAAATAAATTATTCATCAATCATTAAAGCAGAACTTGCCAAAACCCAACCATCATTTTCATAATAAACTTGCCAATCTGAGTCATGGTCCAGGTTCAGTGACAGAACGACTTTGTCCAAATGACAAAACAGGTTATCTAAGCTCAATCTCTGCTGGGGGATATAGCCTTGACTCATCAAGCATACCAGGTTAACAAAAGAGCAAAGATAACTTTCTAATTAATTCAATTAATAGGAATCAAACACATCATTCTACTTACAGAATTATGTTCCTCACAGATTTTCCAAAAACTTGGCAAATTAACTAGTTAAATTAATGTAAGGGACCTTAACCTTAATAGTGCTCTTTATTATTTATCATTCTTGGTGTATCTAAATTCAAAAATTAAATGTTAACACAATCAAAGATAATTTCCTTTGCAATATTTCCTTGTGAAGGAAAAGGTCAGCATCAGGCCTTTAGTCTACAATTTCTTTTGCTGGTGATACCCTATAAAGAAAGGAATGATGATCGAAATCTCCTTGTAAACATGCTAATGATGAACCTGCTGCTAAACACGCTGATGTTATTTACTGGGTGAAAGGTAATGGACAGTGAGACTTCATTGAGGGAATGCTTTCTGCAGGATATACTTGGTTTGTCTACGTTATTATTGTAAATAAACCTGGAATTAATATATCGATGGATGGTTAGGATAAAGAATGTTACATGGAAATGTAAGTAATGGGATATACATTTTGGAGGTGTTCCAAGCCAAAATTTATCTGCATGTATTACTGAAAGCCATACATATTAAATCTGAAACAGAATCCATTGTAATTTAAGAGAGAAAATAATTTAGGAAGCTGTGTTGACAATCTTGGACTACTCCAAGGCAAAACTGCTTATTCAGCATTTTGCTAGCACCTGTGTAATTTCAAGCATTAGTAAATTTAGTACAGGATAAAATCTATAATTTGCACGAACATAATTGACCTTCTGCCAGTCTTTGTTTGGCACTATAAGCAGGATGTAGCTGGCCTGTCTGGGTGGCTTATTGTAAATAAACCTGAAATTGATGGAATTATGGGGTCATGAATAGATGGAGATTGTCATGTAAGTTATATAATTAATGAGGATAATTTGGAGCTGTTCCATAACCAAAGTGACGTCGACTGTGAAAGCAACGCATGCACGCATTACTTAGAATGCTTCATGTTAAATTCAAGCCAGAGCATGTGGTAATGTAAAATAAAAAACAATTTTAGGGTATTGCACTGATAACTACAGATCTCTCTTTTTTTTAATGGTTTATTTTGTTTTCATTCAAGGGAGAGAGGAAGGAAAAGAAAGGGAGAAACTTTGAGGCAAGAGAGAAACGTTGATCAGCTGCCTTCTGTACATGCTCCAACCAGGAATCCAGCCCTCAATTCAAGTATGTGCCCTGACCGGACATAGAACCAGTGACCTTTCAGTTATGTGACAATGCTTCAACCAACTCAGCTGCACCAGTGAGGGTGATACAGGCCTCTTCAGGGAAACAATGCTGAGCATGTGTTCTGTCACTGCCTGTATCGTTTGAATATAGTAAGTTTAGCAATGAATAAGATCTATAATTTGTGCGGAGTCCAATTTAACACATTGGCACTTGTTACCTCATTTCTTCTCTGCTTTTCATTTTAAGATTTTTCTTCAACTGTTGGCAGATATTTTAAAACTTCATCTTTTCTTCTTACTTTTAATAGCAGTTTACAGGATATATTATTAAAAAGACATGTGAAATATAAAATGAATTCTAGCAGTTACCAAATACAACTAAGAAAAGCATATGAAGTAACATTTATTTCATATCCTTCTTAGAGTTCTCATTCCAGGCTCTCTAGGCATTTCAGAAATGTCTAGAATTTGAAACAATGAAATCAAATAAAACTATGAATCTGAGATAAACAACTACACTATTTCCTTATTGTGCTATCCCCTTTTCAACTTTTTTTGGTGCATCAATCAACTCAAAAGATTTACTATGAAGAAATTTTATGTAATGTGTACGTGGTTTAGGGGTATTAATTTCTCAGTATATTATACAATTAATAGGTTATTTCTTTTCAATGTAGACTTTTAAAGACCTTAATGTTAATTACATTCATTTTATTATATTCGAATAGTTGTTTTTTATTATTTCAAAAAGTTATATTATGAAGGGTAGCTTGAAAAGTGCTGGACGGTTGAGCAACAAAGAAAAAGGACTCATGGACTTGGACAACAGTGTGGTGATTTGGGGGTGGGCAGGGGTGGGTGGAGGTGGGAGAAGATATAAGGAGGAAAAATGGTAATTAAAAAAATCCAATAAAATATAAACTATTAAAATAAAAATTGTCTACTATTTGAATTTTTAAAGTAAAAACATTTAAAATATGCTTATTTTGGAAAGTTTTAGAAAGTGCAATAATAGAATACTTTTAATATATGGGGAATTAATGAACTTCACTAAAAAATAATAACATTATAGTCATATATACCATTTTTACTCTAGGAAATATCGATTTATTAAAATATATTAGTAAAATAATAAATCAATATATTTACATATATGCGTATATGTTTATGCATATATGTGCACATTGTAATTTACTGGCACTTTCAAATATTCTGCTTTGTGTGTCTTTGCAGTAGTTTTCAGCTTTGCATTGACCCTCACCTTCTTGATTCCGGTAGAGGTCTCATGAGTATGTAAAAATTTGGATTTTGGGAGGCAAATACCTTGGGGAAAACTTTGCTTGGTCTCCTCATGCTGACTGACACCACAGGGGACAATTATCTATGTGTCTGCTGTGGAAGATCTCAATCCTCCTCCACAAAAGTGGGTTTTATAACCTCAGTTTTTAAAACTTTATCCTAGGTCCTAAAAATCTTACCAGGTCTTAGTAGTTTCTTTTATTGAGTTTACAGTCTCCTTTCTGCAGGGGCAGTGGTCAGTTCCAAGGCTGACTTGGAATAATTACTGCATGATTTATTTGAGTTCTTTTATTTCTCTCAAGACTGTTTTCTTTAAGTACCTACTGGTATTCTTCCAACTAATTTACCTTCCAGTTGTGCCATAGTCCCCTTTTCCTATTCCTTGTACTGGGTACTGAGGATCGACTAAGCAGGTCCAAGATCCTTCTCATCCTCAGTCCAATGCCCTTCGGGTCTGCTGTGTTTAAAACTACTCAGGAGTAAATAATCCAGCTATATGTCCAAAGGGATATATACTGAGGACTGTTTCTAATTTTCATCTCCCATTCTGGCTCTTCTTTTGGTCACTGCAGTCCTTAAAGAACCTCAATACAAGGACAGACATGGAAAAGAAGAAAGCAAAGGGCTAAAACAAATAAATTCTGATATCAATTAGCAGTTTAAGCAATGGGTCTCTTAAGTAAAGGTTTTAACTTTGATTTAACACCATTTTCACCCATAACAAAGAAGGAGCCAATTCAAACTAGTTGAATTTAATGGTGGTACTATTGCCACATATTCATATCCGTTTTTTTCTTAAAGGGAACAAATTCTCTTCAACGTGAATTTCACTTCTTTGGAATGACAAAAAATTTGTATTGCTATTAAATTTTACATCAGTCACAACTTTTATTTTCTTCTTTTTAAAAATTTAATCTTTACTGTATTTTTTTCCCCATTACCACTTACTTCCCTTATACTTCCCTTTCTCCAGCAATCACCACTATCATAGGGCAGTGAAATTATGGAATAGTGTGATAGACACTGGAGAAAATGTGCCAAGCAAGGCATTAAAGAATGTCTTCAGAACCAGTGAAAAAGTAAGATCGTATGCTATTCCTTATCTAATTTGAAAATATTTTAGTATGAATATTTATTTCATAAATCAGAAAGACAGGATTGTTGAGAGTTAAGTCTATAAAAGTTCTTAAAACCCTCTCCCTCATGAAGATTTCAATTTCAGCCTTCTATATCATTTAACTAAGAGAAGAGAGGAGTAGGAGAAATGAAATTTGACCAGAAGCTACAGAAAATAATGAAAAGAAAGAAGGCATTTAAGAATGTATGAGTGGATTTTTGGTAGTCATTCTATGGAGAGAAAATCATGGAGCATTAATTGCACTATGACTGGACTCTTGGCAGGGTGTATTGGTAAAACAGACAGCCTCTCTAAAGATACATAATACTGAAAACATAATTCATTTTCTTAACAAATATTTAACTATAACTTATACCTGTTATCAGCATTTGCTGCTGTAGAAATTGACAATGGTCAGTATTTCAGAGGAAAATATTAACAATGACCTGTAATTTCAAAATTTAGGAAATGTTCATGAAACAGATTGGGTAACATCCAATCAGGTGATGGTGTTTAGAAATTTTACAAAAGACCAGGTAATAAGATAGAGAGGAATTACAGTGATATGTGAAAGAAAAAAAAGTAATTGAGTTTGCTTCTAAATCTATACATATATTAGACTATCAATGTGAATATGGAAGAAAACCAATTAAACATAATTTAATCAATAAAGCAAGAAGAGTTAGGAGTCATTAGTTCTTATGGTTTGAAAAGCTTCCTTCCATTTCTCTACAACTCTCAGAATGGTGCTTTATTTATATTCAAAGCCAAAAACAGGAGAAAATTATTTCTAATATACTGCCACAATGTAGTTCAACAAAAATGCGGTTATTCTGCAGTCATTAGGTCATTAATAAAACTATGCAAATGTTTCAAAAACCAGAAACATATATAGTAAATGTTCTCATAATTATTAAATTCACATAAAGTATGCTGTTTTTATTCAAAATAGAAAAGAACAAACATATTAGCTTCCTCTGAAAGCATCACTTCATGATGATGTTTTCTTTAAAATTCTTTCTAGATCTTAACATTATATTTCCTTTGGCTATGGTAATTCTGGCTCTGCAGTCACTTTATAAAGTTGTAATTAATATACTAACTAAAACGATCAAATCCAAGATGGCAGATGAGCTAGTGGAGGCTACACTAACCTTCGCCCAGGACCAATCTGGAATTTATAACTAAATTATGGAGAAATTATCTGGAACGAACAAGTGAGTAGTAGCTGGAAAGAAGCTTTGTAACCACGGACAGACAGAAGAAACAGCTTCACCACAATGAAACTGATATAGGGTGTGGAGGAGACTCTAGAGTGCTGGCTGGGCTCCCACAGGTGGCAACTGAAGTACTGGAGGAATATTTCAGTGGTCAGGGGGTTCCCCCCGAGAAGTGTGGCATCTAAATCCCAATCTGGGCTCCCCAGACTACAGCTGCAGAACCTGAAAAGAACCCAGATAAAATCCAGCTGCAAAGAGTGGCAGGGTTTCTCTCTGCCAGGGACAGATAGCTGGAGATGCAGAGAGCCATTTAAAGGGCCAAGACATACATTTTCATTTGCAGCAACTTACCCGGGGCTCTGGCAAAAGGGGGATGGGTACAGAATGAACTAGAGTTGCTTGAGGAGAGACTGGGGATGGTGGCTTTGAGAAGATAATTAAGAGAGCAGCTTCCAGGATCCTGGTGCTAAGTCATCCCTAAAACTTCAGGAGCCATCGTGCACAGGCAGACAACTCTCCTCCAAGAGGCATCAGCCTGAGGGGAAGCAACAGTCCCACCCCCAGGAATTAGTCTTCCCTGCCCTGTGGTGCTTAAACCTGACTGCTGATTACAGAGTGAAGAGATTAACAACTGAATGAGTAAGCCGCAGCGGGTGGATCCCTGGTAGTCTCAAACAGGCTGCCTAAGGCCAGACTGGGACACCATCTGACATCACCAGAGGTGGATCCAGAAAGACAAAAACAGTGCACCTCTACAACAGCATACAAGACATGGTGGATGGAAGGACTCTCAGTCAGCCAGCTGGAGAGAAGGGCCCATCAAAGAATGACCTAACAACAATCAATACCCAACTACAACCAGAGAGCCAACATAAACAGCATAAAGGGCATCCCACAAGCATGAAGTTCAGGAGATAAAGGAGATGGCACCACTGAATCACATAGATTTCCTACTGTAGTTCACACCACAAAGACAAAGAATGAAAGAAGATTAATCTAAGAAGCAGAAAGAAACAAGAAGAGTCTCCCCTAAAGGGAAGGGAAAAAGAAGTAACCCCCAACTGAAAGGAAAGGAGTCCCAGAAATGGTGCTAAATGAAGTAGAGGCAAGTAAACTATCAGACATTGAGTTCAAAATAATAGTTATAAGGAAGCTCAATGAGCTCAGTAAGAATTACAAAGAACTAAAGGGAAGCTAAAAGAAACTTATTGTAAACTACATCTGCATGAGGAAGGACATAGAAACTATCAGTAAGAGCCAGAAGGAAATGAAGAATACAACTTCTGAACCGAAGAACATAGTTTCTAAGGAATTAAAAGAAGGCTAGATGAAGCAGAGGATAGAATCAGTGAGCTGGAGGACAAGGTAGAAAAAAATTCTCAGAGAGCAACAAAACAAAAGAGACTCAGAAAGAATGAAAAGGGTTTAAGGGATCTTCAGGACAACATGAAATGTAATAATATTCATATCATAGGAATACCAGGAGGAAGAGAAGAGGAGCAAGGCATAGAAAACCTGTTTGAAAAGAAATGACAGAAAACTTCTGTAACTTGAGAGAAAAAAGCCACACAAGTGCAGGAGGCACAAGGGTCTCAATCAAGATGAATCCAAAGATGCCCACTCCAAGAGACATCATAATAAAAATGGCAAAATTTAAAGACAAAGAGGGAATATTAAAGGCAGTAAGGGAGAAACAGCTAGAAACACACAAGGTAGCCCCAATAAGGCTATCAGCGATTTACTCAACAGAAACACTACAAGCCAGAAGGAAATGGCAGAAATATTACAAGTAGTGAAAAGCAAAGGCCTGCAGCCAAGACTACACTGCCCAGCAAGACTCTCATTTAAAATGGAGGGTGAAATAAGGAGCTTCCCAGACCAAAAAAACCCCCCAAAAAACCAAAACCAAAAAAAAACTAAAAGAACACATCTCCTCCTCCGGACAAGCATTGTAAGAGATGCTAAAGGGACTGCTTTAAGAAGATAAAGAACATAGAGCAACATAAGAACTGAGGGAAAAATGACAATGAATAAATACCTATTATTAATAACCTTAAATATAAGTGGACTAAATGCTCCAATCCAAAGACATAAGGCAGCTGAATGGATGAGAAAACATTACCCACACATATGCTGTCTACAAGAGACCACCCCAGGACAGAAGATCTACACAGGATAAAAGTGAAGGGATAGAAAAAATATTCCAACCAAATGTACCTGAAAAAAAAATTGGGGTAGCAGTACTTACATCAGACAAAATAGATTTCAAAACAAAGGCCATAAAAGGAGACAAAGGAGGACACTATATAATATTTAAGGAAACAGTTCATCAAGAAGATATCACCTTTATAAACATATATGCACCCAACATAGGAGCACCAAAATATATAAGGAAAATCTTGGAGGACTTCAAGAAAGAGATCGAAAGCGACACATTCATGGTAGGGGTTTTAACACACCATTGTCAACAATGGATAGAACTTGCAAGCAAAGAATCAAAAAGGATATTGTGACATTGAACAACACTCTAGAGCAAATGGACTTAATTCATATATACAGAATATTTCACCCCAAAGAAGCAAAATATACATTCTTTTCAAATGCACATGGAGCATTTCCAAAGATGAACGACATGGTAGGTCACAAACCAAGCCTCAACAAACTCAAGAATATTGAAATCATATCAAGCATCTTCTGGGATCACAATGGCTTGAAACTAGAAACCCACCCCAAGGAAAGAACTCAAAAACATTCAAATTCATGGAGTCTGAATAACATGCTATAAAATAATGAATGGGTTAACAGTGAGATCAAGGAAGAAATCAAAAATTTTCTGGAAACAAATGAAAATGAACACCCAACAGCCCGAATCTCATGGGACACAGTTGAAGGCAGTCCTGAGAGGGAAGCTCATAACAATACAGCCGTACCTAAAAAAGTGAAACATTTCAAATAAACAATCTGACTCTTTATCTACAAGAACTAGAAGAACAACAACAAAAAAATCCCAGCGAGGGTAGAAGAAAGGAAATAATCAAGGTCAGAGCAGAATTAAATGACATGGAGACTAAAAGAACAATTCAAAGGATCAATAAATCAGGAGCTGGTTCTTTGAAAAGATAAACAAAATTGGCAAGCTGATTGGCTAACACTAGGGACTGTTAGGATGATGATTTACTTTTTGATCTAATCCTCTGCCTTTCATATAGTGCTAGGGGAGCCAGACTGAGGGAAGTCTCCTAGTCTTTTGCAAATGTCAGGTTGGATACCTTTGATTTACGGATCTCAATACGGATCTCAGTTTAGGTAAAATCTAACCTACCTTTCTTTATTCTGGGCTCAACCCTTCCCATCAAAAGTCCCGGAGGCAGGCATCACCTCACATCATTGTCCCCATTTCTGTTATAAACTGTGCAACACACTGTAAGCCTAATTATATGATGTTAATCCCTACGTTGCCATGCATTTAAACGATGCGTACACCTTTTTCATTTTCAAAGCTGGCCTCCAACCAAGTGTAATTGGTTGAGCCTCCCTTCCCCTGTGATTTATAATTCCCTTTTGGTAAGTAACTCTTAAGAGATGCGAAACAATGGGAGCAGTGCCTAACCTGGGTGAAGGTGCTTCATGTAGTTTGATGCTGGCGCTACGATCCCTCCGTACTGGGGCAGGCTCCAAAGTGGGTAGACCTGTGGCTGAGGTGGTGGTTGTCCAAGTCGACGAAACTCGTCTCAACAAACCAGGGGGCAAACTCCTTCTCAGGCGCTAGGAAGAAGGAGTGTTCATTTTATTACCAAGCATATTTTCTGTCACTAACTTCTATGTAATATAATGGAAGAAAATGGGTTTTTACTTGGAAGTAAATTTATTAAACTATATTGGTTGAATATCACCTACTTAAAATGTGGGTACTCAGATATTCAATTAAAGACTCTGGTCAACATCAATGAATACTATAAAATAACATTTTGGGATATTCATTTCAATGTTTATACAAATATGGGATTATTGGAATGAGAGTCAATTAACCTTTGGGATAATTTTATAGTTATATTTGTTCAATAGGATTCATATACCTATTATAATATTACATATTATATTAGTTATTGTGAGCAGAAGTTTTTCCTCAAAATTCACTTGTCGGGGGCATGACTTAATTTATATCATCTTGCACAACAGTCTCTATACCAAAGTGTTTATTGGTTTAATTTTAATTTTTTGACTTATAAATGAAAATACATAAGAATAAAAGAATGTAACACAAGGTGCACCACTTCTCTTGTGGTTAATGTCACTTAGACTTCAGGCATATGGGTAATGTCATCGGTACCAATTCCTCTGAATAGAAGACTTTGCTGGTTGACCTGCAACTTTCTCTCTATTATTCATTCACCTTTCATATCCTAAAAGAGATATGTGGCATCATCAGCACCGAGGCAAGATTCTGAGCTCACTAGGATAAGTACCATCTAAAAATTAAAGTGAAGGTATTCCACTACAACTGCAGCAACAGTTACTATAGGTAAAATCTCAACCTATTTTTATTTGTGGTTAGCTACTCCTAGGAGACCAATCATGTAAGCATAGTTTACAGAGATGCTGTCTCCTCTTCTGAAGATGGTAAAAATTTCTGAGAAGTAAAGTATATACCTTTGATACTAAATAGTTTTCAGTACCTCCTAAAGATCTGAATTTCTATCTTAGAAGGTAATTCAATGGCAAGAGAAAAGGTCATGCACTGTAAATACCAGGATTATTGCCTATAAATTTGTCACTGACTTCATACCAATTTTGAGAGCCAAAGGAATCAGTTAATCTCTCTCCATTTCCATTTCTTTATGGCCATGTCATGCAGAGCCATGCCCTTTTCAGAGAAGTAGATGTTGGAAGGAAACTATGTAATCACTGAATTGACAAAGTTGTGTGAAGAACACTCTGATGAAGAGACTCACAACAGCAAGAGCTCTGATATTACTGATTCATCACCACCTCAAGTAATTGGCTTCTTGTTGCCCAAATAGATAACTGTGCAGGACATACCAGGGACCACTGAAATTCTGATTTTTTTTTAGCCTTTAATATAACTTCTTTTCCACTAATGCAAGGTCTAAACGGGGTGCAGGATCTATTCCCCATAGATTACTTCTGTAAACTTCTTATATCTTACATATAAAAATATTATACAAAACACAAAGACCATTTTTTTTACTTTAATCCAAAATCAACTAAAACTGTCTGAGTTCCGATCTTGCTGGGTTTGGGAAAGCCATTAGGATACTATGAAGGGCACCATACTAAGAGTGAGAAGACCTCGTGTTTCAGAACGCTATGAATTTTAAGGAGAAACTATCCTAGGATGGGAAGAGACTGTTTTCTTCTTCTTCTTCTTCTTCTTCTTCTTTTTTTTTTTTGCTGCCATAACCTCATCCCATACAACAGGGTCTGGCATACGAAAGTGAAAAAGTTCTTGAAAGTCTGAGTAAAAAAGGTAATGTAAAATTGTAAAATTTTAATTTATAGAAAGCTGTCAAGTATAAGGACAGAAGTCTTTATGTTTAAAATTTTATTACTTTCTTCACCATGATTACATGAGTCATTGATATAAATCAGCATAAGTTTGAAGTACAAAGAAAGAGATCTAGAAGGGAAAAGAAATGGTTAAAGCTTTCCACTAGTGTGTCATTAATACCTACCTTGGGAATAGCCAACTTGTCTTTTTCAGAGCCTTCTTCAGAATCAGAACAGGTATAGTTTTCACTGAAGGAAACGACAGGATTCACTCTGGGCTTGTGAATGGCATGGAAGGTGAGCTGGGTACCGAGCAGGTTGCTCACTGCCCGCAAGGATGTGCACACGTTAGGGGGCAGAGAAGGGTCTGCCAGGAGGTCGGTGATGAGGCCATGGGCCTCGCCCATCACGGCAATATCCACGGTGATACTGGTTCCTGAAGACTGAGACACCAAACAAAGGGACAGTCAGGTAGGAAAGGGCCTGAATCTGAAGGCACAAAGAAATTGGGCTTTTTTGCAAAATGGCTGAGGTGATTCTTTAGGATTGCAGAAGAGTAATGTTCAAATCACATTTCTGTTTCAAATTTTGTCAAAATTTGCCATACCTTCACCGTGTTTGTGTTCATGGCACTTTTTTTTTTTAATGCTAGAATTTGGAGAGGGGTAAGGATATATTTAAAGATATTAAGAAGGTAAACATATGTTTTTAAAGGGCAAGAAATTACAGAGAATTTGAAAAAAAATTTGTATCAATTTATGAAGAGCTCAACATTTTAATGTATATTATCTAAAAATTTCATTTTGAAAATAACATTGATATACTACACAACTTTAATTTTAGTAATATTTTATCCTAGTTTGTGTAATTATTCAACTACTATTAGAGATATGCACAAAAAGCAACTTAATTTGTGTCAAATTCACAAAGTGTCCCTCTTTTTGAGGTTGGTAAGAATCGGAATTTTAGTTCTGGAATTCTGTGACACATCTGTCATATTCTACCAGACTGCCTATTAGACTGAGAGTCTTCACCCATTATTTGCTGAAGTAATGAACAGCCCCCCAAAACAGAGGACAGGAATATTCCTCACTCTGCTGGTGAGGCCAGAGTACAGGCAGAAAGGCATGAGAGCAAGGGAGAGCGTGGACAGAGCCCTGGCAAAGAGGGAAGGTGAAGGTAAAGACAGCATGCAGAGCACCCTTAATGTTGGAGTGCTCCCATGCTATGAGGCAAGATGAATCCACATAGCTTCGAACTGCACAATGCAGTTAGTGATTGGGGTGCAGGTTCCGGAACTAGGGTGCTTACATTTAAATCCTGATCCCGAAACTTTCTAGCTTCATGATCTTTGGCAAGTTACTAGGCTCTCTGTGCTGTGGTTTCTTCATTTGTAAAATGGATATAGTAATAGTACCAACCTCAGAAAATAATTATAAGAATTAAAAGGGATAATACATGTAAATCACTTAATATTGTACTGGAAATTGTAAGTGCTCAATAATGATAATGGTATAAATAATAATTAGAACAATAATTATGGAGCTTTTCAATAAGAGGTTAATAGGTTGGCTATGCATTTGGAAAAAACGTTTAGCCATTCTCTCACAACAAATGGGGGAAAGAAGGGGAAGGGACAAGGAACATGTATAAAGGACCCATGGACAAAGACAACAGTGGGGAGGACTGAAAGTGGGAGGTGGGGGATGGGTAGAGCAGGGGAGAGTAATGGGGGAGAAAAGGGGACAATTGTAACTGATCAACAATAAAAAAATTTAAAAAACAAAACAAAAAAATAACAAGAATGAAAGAAGACAACTTTAAAAAAATAAAATAAACACAAAAGATTAAAAATCTAAATGTGTGAAATTATAAATTTAATAAAAGAAAATATATGAGATTAATTTATAATCTTTGAATGCTAAAAAATAATATGATTTCATAAACTGTCAAGGAAGCATTTTATATACCTAAATAAATATATAAACTTCTGCATGAGAAAGTAGACCACAAGCAAAGGTAAAGGCTATTCTGTGAGAAAATGTTTGCCACACAAAGAAGACAAAACATATTGAGATGAAGATCTACAAAAATCAATAAATGACCAACTTGGATAAAAGGAACAGACAATTCAAATATAATGTAAATAATCAAATATATTAAGAAGCTACTTGCCTTCCAATACTTACAATGCAAATTAAGCAAATGTTTTTGTTTTTATCAAAATGGTATAATAATAAAAGATTGATAGCACCAAGTATTAGTAATAGTTTGGGGGAATGAGCAGTAAATAAAAAACAATTCAACAGTTTTTAAAAAATGTTTTGCTGGGTCTATTTGTTGTTTAAATGTACATGTCCTACAATCCAGTAAAATAACACAGATATCTAGTCTAAAGAAAAATTACAAATATTTAAAAATATAAGGACAAAGACACAAAGGGTACAACAGTGCTCTGATAACAATAACCAAAGATTGTAGCCATAAATGCATATCAAGAGAGTAAATGTAAAAAAGAAAATTCCATTATAACTACATTATAAAACAGTATGTACTTGTTTAAAAGATGTCAGTAGATATATAAATAATTACTTGGCAAAATAGTCATATAATATTGTTCAGTGGGGGGAATGTCTGTCATAAAAAGTGAATATGTATTATTATTTATAATCAGAAAATATATTAATTATGAAAATACCCATAAAGATACCCAATCTTGTAATAACTATTAGGAATAGGTAAATTTTTCTATAAAGGTATCATATAGAATAATTATGTCTTATACCTCTAGAATAAAAATATTTAAATTTTTAAATCACAGTTTACATTCAATATAATTTTGTATTAGTTCAGGTATGTAGCAGAGTGGTTAGAGAATCATATATTTTACAAAGTGTTGCCCTGATATTTCTAGTACCCAACTGGCAATATCATTGACTGTATTTTCTAAGCTGTACTTTACACCCCTGTGACTATTTTGAAACTACTGATCTGTACTTCTCAATCTTTTCATGTTTTTCACCCAGTTCCCCCAGAACCCTCCCCTCTGGCAACCATCAGTTTGTTCTCTGTATGTGAGTCTGTTTCTGTTTTATTTTTGTTTTTTCATTTATACTGTTCTTTAGATTCCACATGTAAGTGAAATCATGTGGTATTTGTCTTTCTCTGACTGACTTATTTCACTTAGCATAATACCTTCTAGGTCCATGCATGCTGTCGCAAATGGTAAGACTTTGTTCTTTAAGATGGCCAAGTAATTTTCCGTTATATTATGTACTACCATTTTTTTTATCCACTCATCTATTGATGGGCTCTTGGGTTGCTTCCATAGCTTGGCTATTGTAAATAACACTACAATGAACATAGGGGTGCATATACTCTTTCAAATTTGTGTTTTGGGTTCCTTTGACTCTATACCCAAAGGTAGAATCACTGGGTCACAAGGTAGTTCCATTTTTAATTTTTTGAAGAACCTCCATACTGTTTTCCACAGTGGCTGCACTAATCTGCATTCTCACCAACAGTGCACCAGGGTTCCCTTTTCTCCACATCCTCACCAACCCTTGTTGATTGTTGATTTATTCATGATAGCCATTCTGAAAAGTGTGAGGTGATATCTGATTGTAGTTTTAATTTGCATTTCTACAATGATGAGTAATGTTTAGTATCTTTTTGTATTTCTTAATCTTTGTTCTTATTAGTATAAAAATAACTTGGCAAAATCAGAATCAGAGAGCTAGAACATTGAAATGCTGGGATGCAGACACAAATACTCTGATCCTACAGCTTAAGTGCTGAACTAGTATACCAAAATAAATACTGATCTTTCATTTCCTGTTCTTAAATATATCTGTACTTACTTAATGCTTTATTTAATAATTGGGCCACGTTTTTCTCTGTAGGTACTCTTATATACATACTATAAACTGGTGTCAAAATTTAATGTAATAGTAACAGTTTTAGGATATATAATTATATTTCACTTATGTACCTATATTGTTAACTTCAAAATATGTCCATGAGAAATGCAACTGTACTAGGTTAACATTCCCTTGTAGAAACATGTATTTTCAAGTGCATCTCTAATTATTATGTTTCTGAAAAACTCAGTGTGATCTTCTGAAAGAGTAATATTTATTGCTACCCATGTTGTTCTAATAAAGTTAAACTAACAATGACTGCACACTTTCCCTAAAAAAATAAAAACAAAAATTTAAGTCAAACTGTGTTTCCAGGGCATAAATTTTCAGTTTTTCTGACAAGGAAATTAGCAGTTTATGCTCTAAAAATTAATAATTACAGAAATTATTTCAAAATATTCTTAGTATTTAAAACTTACAAATATGAAAAAATATACATCATGTTCACTGACAAATAGATTTATGTTTTAAATAAATTATTGGTGAGAGAACAAGTCTTTTTATAATTCTCTAATTTTATGTCTTTTTTAATAACACATTCCCTTTTTAAGGTAATAGATATATTTCTTATATACTCAAAATATTTAAAATTTTAAACGAACTTTGAAACAGAAACAGAACTAAGAACTCATCGTAAGTCAATGTCAACATAAAAATTTAGAAAATAAGCACATTACATATTTGAATTTACTTATGCTATGAATTTTGTGAAAGCAAAGGTCTTCAAGTAAAAATAAAATCATTATTCAAGCTAAAAAGAAGCATTTCTTCATATTGGACTTGGCTAAGAAACCAAAGCAAACACTTCTACTGTTGAAAAATTCTCCCTACTATAACTAAGTCAGGTCTTTGCTTTATTGGTTTTTTGATTCAAGAACAGAATTGTGTAACAGTCAGAAGTTGTGTCACACACAAGAAGTTATTACCATTCTTTGGCTCAAATAACTAGAGGCTTCAATGAAGTGTGAAATCTAAAATCAGCCATCAGATTTGGTTGCCACACAGTTGCTAAGACTAACCACCCATAAAATGCTGAAAGACTGAAAGACAGACTGGCTGCTATTTCAATAAACAGCAGGTAAGTAACAAACATGCAGGCACGTTTAGGGAGTCACCATTAAGGAATTTCAGAGGAGAGAGGCTTTGGTTGGTGGCAGAATTTTTTCACATATGATGCAAATGAAACAATGGAGAGTCACAGAAGGCAGTCCATACCCATTCAACTTCCAATGATATTGCCTAAATTTCTAAGTCTACCAATAATACTCTGAAATATTTCATTTAACTTGTGAAATCTTAGATAGTGGTAATAAATACTCAAAGTAAAGTTTATTTGAAGGTTACTTTAAAGGAAAGTCTTAAGCTAACAGCCTGAAATCATCTTTGAGTGCAGTAATGAACTATACTAAGCATAAAACCACAGTTGAGTCTTTTTATGGAGCAGATGATCAAACAAATCTTTTCCTTAAAAAAAAAAAAAATAAAGTAACCAAGCATATAAAACATTTTACTTTGCAGGCTCT